TTTTACATCGTGGTGACCAAAACTGGGTGCAGTATTTACAATTACCAAGGCATTGTAGAGTGGCACTAACACATCACGTGATCTTGATTCTATCCCTCTGTTAATGCAGCCTAGCACTGTGTTGGCTTTTTTGACAGCTGCAGCTCACTGCTGGCTCATATTTAAGTGATTGTCCTCTAGGACTCTGAGGTCCCTCTCACAGTTGCTACTATTGAGCAAGATACCACCTATGCTATACCTGCGCATTTGGTTTTTCTTGAGGATCTTGAGTGTGGGATGCTGGAACCATCATAAATGTGCAACCGGTTGTTCCATTTTATATCCTTTCTTGCCACAGATGTGAAGTGAATCACTGCAGGGCTCAGTTAATAACAGGATTGGGTTTTTTGTATTAACATTTTTATTATTCAAAATATAAAATACAAGAAAAATAAAATAGTGGGAAACTAGGGAAGGAAAAAGGGAAGTGTCACAACTCTGGCTGATGATCCCAACAAAGCAAACCCCCCTGAGACATTGCAATTTCTAATGCCAGACTTTATTGGGAAATGCATATGGGCAGTAATGAACTCTGAGTAAATTGGTGCGAAAGCAGTATAATCAAAGCATAGCAATTCCCCCCCCCCCATTGCAGGTCACGTTACCCAATTAAGCATCAGACAATTATTATGAGAAAGAACCTTCAGTTTCCAAAACAATCTCTACAGCTGCAGATACAACCTACGTTCCATTCTCCCCCTCCTGTCTCTGTTGGCAAGAAAAAGAAAGAAAGAAAAAAAGAAAGAAAGAAAGGAAGGAAGGAAGGAAGGAAAGAAAGAAAAAAGAAAGGAAGGAAGGAAGGAAGGAAGGAAGGAAGGAAGGAAGGAAGGAAAGAAAGAAAGAAAGAAAGAAAGAAAGAAAGAAAGAAAGAAAGAAAGAAAGAAAGCTGAAAAGGCATGTAGGTTTTTTTTCCCGAACTTGAGAGAAGAAAAAATGTGGGGTAGAGAGGGTAGAAATGTTGACATCTGACTCTTTTTAGCATAATAGAATAAGGTTAAAACTTCACCTTTACTTGTACAGTCGCTTATACTAGTTATTTCTTAACTAACCTATCTAATCAGCAACCAACCAACCCCATGCTCAAGCAGGGGACCCTATACCAGTGATGGTGAACCTTTTAGAGACTGAGTGCCCAAAAACTGGCCCCACCCCTGCTCTGCCCCCCCCCATCTCCTGCCCTGCCTGCCCGCAAGGCCACTCACCGCCTCCAGGGCCCACCGCAGATCGGCCAGGCAGACCAGCAGCACTATGGTGGTCACGCCCTCTGCCCGCGCCCTGCAGCATCAACTATGCACGATGGGGTGTGAGGGCAGAGTCTTGTCTACGCTGCCTGGCTGCCATGTCCTTGGCTGCACTGCTCCGCATGGGCCATGCTCAGGGGCAACTCTCCTTCAGGGGGGCTGCTGGAGAGGAGGGGGTCATGGGGGGAGGTGAGGCTGGGGCAATGGCACATGTGCCCACAGAGAGGGCTCCGAATGCCGCCTCTGGCACCCATGCCATAGGTTTGCCAACACTGCCCTATATCATTTCAGATAGAATGTTATCCAGTCTTTTTTAAAAACCTCCAGTGATGAAGCACCTACAACCCCTAAAGGCAAAGCTGTTCCAATTGTCCTGTTCGGAAGTTTCTCCTTAATTCCAGGATGTTTCTCGCCTTGATTGGTTTCCATCATTTCTTGTCTTGCCTTCTGGTGCTTTGGAAAATAACTTGGCCCGCTCTTCTTTGTGCTAGCCCCTCAAATACTGGAATACTATCATGCCACCCCTAGTCCTTCTCTTCTCTAGAGCAGTGGTTCTCAACCTTTTTAATGCCGCGACCCCCAACCAGTCGTAAGTCGAGGACTACTCAACCGGTCGTAAGTCAAGGACTACTCAACTGGTGCAGCACCGTTTGCAGAATGGGACTTTTGGCGGGCTCAGCAGGGCAGAGATAGCCTGGACAATTCCTATTGGCTTTCGAAAGCCAATAGAATAAAAGGGAGTAGCACAGCTAAGGAAAAGGGGAAAAAATGGCGGACAGCCTTGTTTGGTGACCCCCGTGAAATGGTCGTTCGACCCCAAATGGGGTCCCAATCCACAGGTTGAGAACCACTGCTCTAGAGACTTCCGAACTTGACAGGAAGAAGAAAAAATGTGGGGTAGAGGGGGGGAAACGCTGACATCTGACTCTTTTTAGCATAATTGATTATAAGGTTACAATTTCAACTTCACTTTTGCACAGTCGCTTATATTAGTTATTTCTTAACTAACTGATCTAATCAGCAAAAGCAAAGTTTCATTTTTTCCCCATCACAAGCACAAAATCCAGAAATGATTTCCAAATAAAAACAAAATTAGATATATTCTCTTCTTCAGATAAAGGAATCAATCAAAGCATCTCTACTTTTTTTCCTGGCTGTGGGAAATAATAAATATTCTGCTTACAGTTATTAATCTTGATATACTATCATCATTTCTATGAACAAAATTCTCTCTATTCTTTCAGATTTTTTTTTAACCTTAAAGGGGAAAGAAATACTTTTTATACACATTGAAACTTTTCTTTAAAAACATTTCTAAAATCGGTCAGTTCTAGTACATCTTTTTTTAAATGTCTTTTAATATACATACTATAAAGTTCGCTTTCAGTTATATTTTACAAGCTTAAAAATGACTCAAGCATTATATATGAAGGGAAAAAACCATTTTCAAACCCACTTTATAAACACAAAACTATTAAAGCTATCTCTCTATTACATGTTATCAGGCCAATAAAAATCCAAGTAACTTCAATTACCTCATTAAATTTAAGTCACTTCCGCCACTTTATTCTCATAAACACTTTTTCTTCTCTAGAATATCTATCAAATAAATATGAAGTTATATTTCTCAAAGTATTTTTAACTTTGTCCGTGCAGAAAAGTTCCAAAATGTCCCATAAAGTAGGAGTCCCCAATCTGTGGGCCCTGACCCACTACTGGGCCGTGGCCTAATCACCACTGGGCTGCATGAGTGGCCAGCCGCTGCATGTGGGCAGTCCCACTTGCACACATGGCCCCACTTGCGCAAACCTTGTTGCGGGCCACACTCACATGAGTTTCATTTCCCACCCCACCCCCCCTCTCCAGGCCACCAACCTGGAAAGGCTGGGGGACTCTGCTCTAAAGAGTTGCAAATTTACTTGGAACTCTTACTTTCAATTGCGCCAAGAGGTTTAAACAGTCATCTTCACGCCTAGTGGACGGTCACTTAAATATAAGCCAACAGTGTGCACCAGCAACCAAAAAAGCTAATATGATCCTTGGTTGCGTAAACAGAGGGATAGAGTCAAGATCATGTGATGTATTAGTACCACTATATAAAAACTTAGTAAGACCACATCTGGACTCCTCCATCCAGTTTGGGTCACCCCATTATAAAAAAGATGATGAGACTTTGGAATGAGGGCAGAGAAAAACAACTAAGATAATTAACGGCCTTGCAATTAAAACGTATGAAGAGTGGTTGGAGGATTTGGGTATGGCTAGTCTAGAGAAAAGGAGGACTAGGGGTGATATGATAGCCATGTTCCATAATCTGAGGGGCTACCCAATTCCTGCAACTGTTCATCATGTTTTAGCCTGCAGCCTCCTAATTATTCCTGTTGCTCTTCTCTGTACTTTACGCTCACTATATGGCGGTGACCAAAAGTGGATGCAATATTGCAAGTGCGTCTTATTAAGGCTTTATAATACTTCACGAGAGTTGATTCTATCCGTTAATACAGCCTAAGATTGTATTGGCTTTTTTGACAATAACAGCACGCTACCGGCTCATGTCTATCAATCAATTAGAATAGAGTTGGAAGGGACCTTGGAGGTCTACTAGTCCAACCCCATGCTCAAGCAGGGGATCCTTTACCATTTCAGATAGACTGTTATCCAGTCTTTTCTTAAAAACCTCCAGTGATGTAGGACCTACAACTTCTGAAGGCAGGCTGTTCCACTTGTTAATTGTCCTGTCCGGAAGTTTCTCCTTAATTCTAGGTTGTTTCTCGCCTTGATTAGTTTCCATCATTTCCTGTCTTGCCTTCTGGTGCTTTGGAAAATAACTTGGCCCCCTCTTCTTTGTGCTAGCCCCTCAAACACTGAGATACTATCATGTCACCCCTAGTCCTTCTTTTCTCTAGACTGGCCATACCCAATTCCTGCAACCGTTCTTCATATGTGTTTGTCTGTCTCCAGGCCTTTAATCATCTTAGTTGCTCTTTTTTGCACTTTTCCCAAAGTCTCAACGTATTTTGTGTAATGTGGTGATCAAAACGGGATGCAGTATTCCAAGTGTGCCCTTACTAAGGTTTTATAAAGCTGCACTAATATTTCATGTGATTTGGCTTCTATGCCTGTTTATACAACCTGGGATTGTATTAGCTTTTTTGGTTGCTGCTGCACACTGCTGTGTCATGTTTAAGTGGTCATCCACTAGGACTCCAAGGTCCCTCTCAGTTACTGTTTTTGAGCCAGGTTTTGCCTAATCTGCACTTGTACCTTCGGTTTTTCTTATTAAGGTGTAAAACCTTGCTTTTCTCCACATTAATTTTCATCTTCTTGGATAGGGCCCACTGATCAAGTCTGTCAAGATCTTTTTGGATCCTGAGCTTGTCTTCTGGAGTGTTGGATATTCCTGCCAGCTTAGTGTTATGTGCCAATTTGATGAGTTTCCCTTCTATTCCATCATCTAAGTCAGTGGTTCTCAACCTCTGGGTCGGGACCCCATTTGGGGTTGAACAACCATTTCCTGGGGGTCGCCAAACGCAGTCCGCCATTTTCCCCCCTTTTCCTTAGCTGTGCTACTCCCTTTTATTCTATTGGCTTTTGAAAGCCAATAGAATAGACTCTCTTGAATAGAGTCTAATTCTATTGGCTTTCAAAAGCCAATAGGAATTGTCTAGGCTGTCTCTGCCTTGCTGAGCCCGCCAAAAGTCTCATTCTGCAAACGGTGCTGCACCAGTTGAGTAGTCCTCAACTTACAACTGGTTGAGTAGTCCTCGACTTACGAACAGTTGGGGGTCGCGCATTAAAAAGGTTGAGAACCACTGATCTAAGTCATTTATGAAGCTATTCAAGAGTACTGGGTATAAAACAGAACCTTTCTTTCTTTTAAAATATTTTGTCTATCCTTGTTTTATTTTTGAAAAAAAAAATCATATATATATTTTGTAGTTTGTATTTATATTAATTTTCTGGATATTTTTTTTTTTAAAAGGCCTCTTTACCAGAAGCAAGTTCATAGAGTAGTTCTGCACCTATTTTCTAAACTGGCTCTAAATTCATGAAAATATAGCATAATCCAACCCGCTGCTCAAGACAGGAGCCTTATACCATCCCACTCAAATGGTTGTCCAGCTTGTTCTTGAAAACCTCCATTGATGGAGCAGCCACAATGCCTGGAGGCAAGTTATTCTAATGATTAATTGCCCTCATTGACAGAAAATTTCTTACTTCTATGTTGGATCTCATTTAATAAGCTTCCACCCATTACTTCTTATCCTGCCCTCAAGTGCCCTGAAAATTAGTGAATCCCTTCTTCTTAGTGACAGTCCTTCAAGTACTGGAAGACAGCTATCATGGGCCTTCCTAATGATTCCCTTTGATAGCCTATATATGCATAGATCCCACAATCGAGTGTTATACGATATAGCATCCAGATCCTTTATCATCTTTGTTGCTCTTCTCTCCACCCTTTCCAGGGCCTCAACAACTATTTTGTATCATGATGACCAGAACTAGATGCAGTATTCTAAGTGTGGTGTCACCAGCACTGGGTAAAGCAATTCTATGTCTTCTTTTTGTCTTGACATTATTCCTCTGTTGATGCAGTCTAGGACTGCACTGGCTTTTTTTGGCAGTTGCAGCACAATAATGATGCAAGTGGTACCTGTCCACTTATCATGCGCTCCAGGGATACATGGTCTGCCCTTTTGCAGACCTCCCAGAGGCAGACACCATTTTCAGTGCACTCACAATCTCTTAACGCAATCTACAATATGTTAAGGTAGCAAAACAGATCAGTCTGTCCCACTCCCATGCAACAGTGACCAAGAAGCAGTGACCATTCTGACCCAGAGGCAAGCATGACAAAATAGCAGCTGCTTCCACAAGCCCACCCCAGGGCTCAAGGATGAATCCAAACCACAGTGAAAATAATGGCTGCTTCCAAGATGTAGTCACAAGGCCCAGGAATGCATATCCTGCCCTCTTTCCCCAACATTTGGATCTGATTTGTGATATCTCAATGGGAGATCAGAAATGAAAATCAAGTCTTCGTTAAATTCATTAACCTTTGCCTCATGTCGAATCCCTTATGTTCAACAAGGGATGATATTCGCATGAAATCAATCCACAGATATTTGGATATTTGAAAGGTCTCCCCCGATTTGAATCCTCTGTTGTATCACCAGGTTGGAATTCCAACTGAAACTTTTGTCAGAAACAGGCCATTCAAAGGATTTGTCTCCTTTGTGATTCCTCTGGTGTCTCACCAGACTGGAATTTTCCCTGAAATTTTTCCCACAATCAGGACATTCAAAGGGTTTCTCTCCTGTGTGAATCCTCTGGTGTGTCACCAGACTGGAACGCTGACTGAAACTTTTCCTACACTCTGGACATTCATATGGTTTCTCTCCTGTGTGAGTCCTCTGATGAATCAACAGGAGGGAATTTTGACTGAAACTTTTCCCACAATTAGGACATTCAAAGGGTTTCTCTCCTGTGTGAATCCTCTGGTGTATCACTAGTTCATAATTCTGACTGAAACTTTTCCCACAATCAGGACATTCAAAGGGTTTCTCTCCTGTGTGAATCCTCTGATGCTTCACTAGGTTAGAATTGTGACTAAAACCTTTGCCACAATCTGGACACTCATATGGTTTCTCTCCTGTGTGAGTCCTCTGGTGTATCACCAGGCTGTAATTCTGACTGAAACTTTTCCCACAAAGAGCACATTCAAAGAATTTCTCTCCTGTGTGAGTCCTCTGGTGTCTCACCAGGCCGGAGTTCTGACTGAAACTCTTCCCACAATCAAGACATTCAAATGGTTTCTCTCCTGTGTGTATTCTCTGGTGACTCTTGAGCTGGAATTTTCTAATGAAACTTTTCCCACACTCTGGACATTCATATGATTTCTCTGCTGTGTGAATCCTCTGGTGTATCACTAGTTCATAGTTCTGACTGAAACTTTTCTCACAATCAGGACACTGAAAGGGCTTCTCTCCTGTGTGAGTCTTCTGATGTTTCACCAAGTTGGAATTTCGACTGAAATTTTTCCCACAATCTGGACACTCATATGGTTTCTCTCCTGTGTGAATCCTCTGATGTATGACCAGGTCAGAATTCCGAGTGAAACTTTTCCCACAGACAGGACATTCAAACGGTTTCTCTCCTATGTGAGTCCTCTGGTGTCTCACCAAGCTGGAATTCTGAGTGAAACTTTTCCCACACTCAGGACATTTGAAGGATTTTTCTCCTGTATGTATGCTCTGGTGACTTGTGAGCTGGAATTTTCTAGTGAAACGTTTCCCACAATCTGAACACTCATATAATTTCTCTCCTGTGTAAGTCCTTCGCTTTTTCACCAGGTACAAATTCTGACTGAAACTTTTACCACAAATTGTACAATCATACAGTTTCTCTCCTGTGTGAGTTTGCTGGTATGTCACTAGGCTGGAATTCTTACTAAAATTTTTACTATAATTCTTACTACTCCAACACTCTGGACATTCATACAGTTTTTCTCCTATGTGTGTCCTCCGGTGCATTGTCAGGCTGGAATTATAACCGAAACGTTTCCCACACTCAGGACATTCATAGGGTTTTTCTCCTGTGTGAATCCTCTGGTGTATCACCAGGCTAGAATTGTGACTGAAACCTTTTCCACAATCAGGACATTCAAAGGGTTTCTCTCCTGTGTGAGTCCTCTGGTGTGTCACCAGGTTAGAAATCTGACTGAAACTTTTCCCACACTCGGGACATTTAAAGGGTTTCTCTCCTGTGTGAGTCCTCTGGTGTGTCACCAGATTAGAAATCTGACGGAAACGTGTCCCACAGTCAGGACATTCAAAGGGTTTCTCGCCTGTGTGAGTCCTCCGGTGTATCACCAGGTGGGAATTCTGACTGAAACTTTTCCTACAGTCAGGACATTCAAAGAATTTCCCTTTGTGAATCCTCTGGTGACTCATGAAGTAGGAATTTTTAATAAAACTTTTCCCACAAACTGGACACTCACACACACTGTCTCTTTGGTATGAGTCCTGTGATGTATCACCGAGTTGCCGTAGTTGCTAAAGCATTTACCACAGCAAAGGAATTTGTAGGGCATCTGTCCTATCTGTGTCTTTCCATGAACCACAAGAGAGATGTTCAGACTAAACCTTTTGCAACATTTCTAGCATTTCAATGGCTTTCCTACAGTGTGGATCTTCTATTGCACAATCAGTTATTATGTACTATTTGTGTTTTTCCCACAATTGGCACATCCATGCAGCTTTTCCAACACTGATATTCTTGAGGGGGTCAAAAATATGGGTGATCCCTTGTTTAGTAGTGCTTTGATTCAAGCCGGTTTTTTTCCTCACAGGGTGAGGCCTGCCTTACTGTCTGCTCTACGTGCCTATCTAATTGACCTTTTCTTGCCACTGACTTCCAGATATTTCCCCCTTTTTCTGAATGAAAAATAATCTCCCTTGATTTTTTGTGTAATGTACCTTGAGTTTCGTGAACTCTACTTTTACCAGCTTCAAATCTCTTCTTGGTTTTCTCTTATTTCTCTCTCACCTGCTGAGGAAGGTGAAGAATTTTGCGGCTTTCTGAAGGAAATGGAAAATATTTTGATTTCTGGCTTGATTTGCTTTCCTTTTAAAAGCTGCTTGTTATTCCCAGTTGTCCACAGTGCTCTTATTGCTATGCTCTTTATCTATAAGATTGAAAGAAAAATGTAACTTTAATTGTGTATAAAATGGCTTCAGATGATGTGAAAAAAAAGAAAAAAGTACACATTTCAATGAATAAACAAACATGCCACAATACAAGAAAAACTTCTTGCATTAATTATGATTCATTTGACACATGGCAGACTACTGAGATCCACGTTCAAATATCCATTCAGTCATGAAATTCTCTTTTTGACTTGGGTCAGTCACAAATGCTTAGCAGTGCAAACTTTTATCATCAAATATATCTGGAAGTGCTGGGAATTATACAGTTGTAAATATATGCGTACAGAGAAAAAATACAAATATACACACATACAAATATGGGCTGTTGGTTTGATTTCCAGGCTTGGTAATTAGGTTGCAAACATTTCATCTTGGGGGGGGGGGGGCATCTTCACTGCAGTTTGAATTGTGTTTGGAATGTTGCTTCCGGTATTTCAGTTGAAATAGCTCTCTCACTCTCAGTTGTTGGTAGGCGGGGTCAATGTTAATGTGTCTGTTCACTGATTGGTTGGTGGAGAACCAGGCCTCGAGGAATTCTCTTTCTCTCCTTGACTTTGCTTGGGTTATACAGGTAATCTCTGAGTTAAGAGTGTTCACTTAAAGCAGTGGTTCTCAACTTTTCTAATGCTGCGACCCCATAATACAGTTCCCCATGTTGTGGTGACCCCCAACTACTTATACATCACCGGGTGCCAGGGGAATGGCCAAAGAAAAGGGGAAAAAAATGGCGGACAGCCTTGTTTGGCGACCCCCGTGAAATGGTCATTCGACCCCAAATGGGGTCCCGACCCACAGGTTGAGAACCACTGACTTAAAGCTTGTTCAAAGTTACGTGATGAGCGCCCCCTAGTGCTCACGAGCAAGTCCTGAAATTACGAATATTGCAGCACGATGGCAGTCGTTCGCCCTTATGTAAGGAATTGTATGTAAGGAATTGTGATTCATTTGGTTGTTGCTGCTCCTGTTGTAGTTGTTGTGTTCTTTTGGGCATTTGCATTATTTGTGTGTAGAGATCTCTGGATGAATTTTTGTCGATATCCATTTCTCTCAAAGATTCTGTATAAGTGTCTCTGTTCTGCTGATCTGGCTTCTGTGGTGTTGCAATGACTATCAAAAGACATGACCCATTGTCCCTCATGTCTTTCCATGAGGACTCGGAAGGACACAAGTTCAATCTATCCGGGACTACAATTATAACCCAAGCAAAGTCAAGGAGAGAAAGAGAATTCCTCAAGGCCTGGTTCTCCACCAACCAATCAGTGAATAGACACATAGACATCGACCCCGCCTAGCAATGACTGAGAGAGAGCTACGTCAACTGAAATACCGGAAGCAACGTTCGAAACAAACCAAACACAATACAAACTGAAGAGGTCTCCCCGAAGATGAAACATTTGCAACCTAATTACCAAGGCCAGAGATCAAACCAACAGCCCAGCACCAAACTGAGTTACTAGTATTCAAACACATCTCACAAATATACAGAGGTATATAGGTGGAAAGTCCATGTGTTTTCAGCCTGAAAGTTATCCCAAAGTGATTACAGTCAAACCTTCTAAGGTACTTTTAGAGACGTGGGGCTTTAACTGATGAAATGATGCCTAAGGCCTCAGCTGTCAACTTCTGCAATGAACCTGGCTGAAGCCATTTTCTTTTGTACACAGTTGCCACACACTTTAGAAGGGGGAAGGGGGAATGAGATTGGACGTATTGCTAGACATAACACAGAACGACCGTGGGAACCAAGGTCACCTCCACAGGTGTCGGAGGAAGATGGGGAGGAGTGACTAAGAGCCCACCAATTAACTCCATTGGACCGTGTGATTTGTGACACTTGGGGGAAAGGGGTTTGATACTTTTAATTATGCTGAACCTGTGGGAAATATTCAGAGTTGGGTTTCACTTTTGAACGTGCCGATATGATGTACCCAATAAACACATTCTTTGAGGAAACTGCTAGCCTCGGAGTTCTGATTTGGTTGGGATCGTTAGTCGGAACCATGACATTAGCAAAATGTAAAGCACCAGTGTCAGCTCTGCCTGGCTCGGCTGGGGCTTCAAGGCATTCTGCCATCAAAAGATATAGCGGGGGGAGGGGAGGATGAAAAGGGGAAAGATGAAAGGGCAATAAAATTTGTATGTACATGATAGGAAATCGGGAGGGAGGGGATGACAGGTGAGAAGGACCAGAGCAGCCAGATCCTGTTTGTACCAACAAAGGGAGGGGGGCATCAGTAGCTGAGAAACATCAGTGGAGTACTGTATTACTTAGGAGCGCTGCATGTTTTTTGAAGCTACAAATAATGCTGCAATTGGGAACAGCTCTTCATTTTTGAAGAACAGAACTGAAGATGGTAGTTTAATTTTGTCCCCTTCCCTTAACACAGTGGTTCTCAACCTTTTTAATGCCGCGACCCCCAACCGGTCATAAGTCGAGGACTATTCAACTGGCGCAGCACCGTTTGCAGAATGGGACTTTTGGTGGGCTCAGCAGGGCAGAGGCAGCCTGGACAATTCCTATTGGCTTTTGAAAACCAATAGAATAGACTCTCTTGAATAGAGTCTAATTCTATTGGCTTTCAAAAGCCAATAGAATAAAAGGGAATAGCACAGCTAAGGAAAAGGGGGAAAAAAATGGCGGACTGCGTTGTTTGGTGACCCCCGTGAAATGGTCGTTCGACCCCAAATGGGGTCCCGACCCACAGGTTGAGAACCACTGCCTTAACAGAGTCCCTGTTTAAGAATATTAAAGCTACTCTGCCAAAGCTTGCTTTGGTGCAGGACCCAGACATTACTGCAAGTAACATTCCAGACTTTATCAGCACCCACCACCACCACCCAAAAACAAAAGCTAGGGCAGGGCAGGGCAGGGCAGAAAATGCCTTTGAAAGTTAATGCAGTGCTTAATTCTTCTCAATTAAATTAAATCCTCCCCTCCTGGAGGGCTGGATCTATTCGGATGGCTGGGAAAGGACAACCTACTAAGATTCCGATGGTCCCCCGGGGACAGGAAAAAGGAATGGGAAGAGAAACCCATTGCTGCGGAAGCAGCAACCGAGGAGGAGGAGAAGCGGCAGCTCAGCGGTTCAAGGAGAGGCGGAGACTCGGAAGGGGAGGGGGCGCAACTGGGGGAAACCCACCTCGCTCTCCCTCCCTCCCTCCCCCGAGGAATCCCTCCTCCCTTTCCCCCCTGGGGATTCCCCCCCCCTCGCAGCATCCTTGCCCACCTGGCGCCCTTTGAGCGGGGAGGGGAATCTCCGCAGCGAGGCCGTAAGAAACGTCAGGAGACCAGGAAGAGGGGCGGGAGGGGCCGGAAACTGCTCTCCCACCGCCTTTTTTCCGTTTCCTGCCTCCTCTCTAGGCGCAAGAGAAAAGCTCTGTGCGTTTAATCCCTTCGTGGAACCCTGCGGGGAGGACGCACTGGGGCGCCGCCGGGCAATGCCAAATTGAGGCCCCGCGAAAGACCGTCTCCCGCAAGGGAAGCTCAAAAAAAAAAAAAAAAAAAATAAAAGACAGGGATCAAGGTTAAAAAAAGATGCTTGCATGTGCTAATTGCATCTCTAAATGCAAATTAGGCAATCATCGCTATTAAAGATAGGCGAGAACTGGATATGTCTTAATCCAGGGGTAGGGAACCTTGTCCATGACTGGTGGACTTCTGCTGGCTCAGGAATTCTGGGAGTTGAAGTCCACCAGTCATAAAAAAGCCAAGGTTGCCTACCCCTGGTCTAGTCTAACACACGGAAGGACTAGAGGTGACCTGATAGCAGTCTTTCAATATTTGAGGGGCTGACACAGAAAAGAGGGTGTCAGCGTATTCTCCAAAGCACCTGAGAGCAGGACAAGAAGAAGCAGAGGTAGACTGATCAAAAACAGATCCAATCTAGAATCAAGGAGAAAGTTCCTGTCTTAGAAAAAGTGGAATGGCTTGCCTCTAGAAGCTGTGGGTGATCCATCAGTGGGGTGTTTAAGAAGAGATTTGACAGCCATTCATCCGGAATGGCATAAGGTCTCCTGCTTGGACACTTGGTCCCTTCTAACTTTTATTCTGTAACTCTGGAATAACTTAATGAACTTTCAGGACTCAGCTAATCTTCACAAGCTAAGTACTGTCACATTTCACATAATCAGTGAAAACACCTTGCAAATAATAATAATAAAGTTGGAAGGGACCTTGGAGGTAATCTAGTCCAACCCCCTGCTCAGGCAGGAAACCCTATACCATTTCAGACAAATGGCTGTCCAGTCTCTTCTTAAAAACTTCCAGTGTTGGAGCATTCACCGCTTCTGGAGGCAAGTTGTTCCACTGATTAATTGTTCTAACTGTCAGGAAGTTTCTCCTCAATTCTAGGTTGCTTCTCTCCTTGATCAGTTTCCATCTGTTGCTTCTTGTCCTGCCTTCAGGCGCTTTGGAAAATAGCTTGACTCCCTCTTCTTTGTGGTAGCCCCTGAGATATTGGAACACTGCTATCATGTCCCCCCTTGTCCTTCTCTTCGTTAAACTAGACATACCCAATTCCAGCAACCTATGTTTTAGCTTCCAGTCCCCAGTGCCTTAGATGGAGACGGGAGAAGCCTGTTTTTCGGCCTCCCATGGCGAGGTGGTGGTCAGATCAGCAGCATCAGTGACTAGAAAGCCAACAATACAATACCGTTATCTGTGGTTGAACTTAAAGGAGTTAAAGCCACAAAGTACTGATTGCTAGAACGGCTGGGAGGTGAGGAGAAGCGCAGAGGAATTTCCTTTTCCGGATCACTTATGGGAGGAGGGTGGCGCGCAGAGTGGCCCTCTCGGTCTTCCAAGGATCGAAGCATCAGCTGGAAGGTGAGTTGCAGGCAGGTCGGAGGAGAAGCCGGGAGCAAATCAGGCGGTTTGGTTTCCGTCACAGCGTAGAAGGAGAGAATCAACTAGAATATAGGGTTAGGGTTGGAAGAGACCTTGGAGGTCTTCTAGCCCAACCCCCTGCTCAAGCAAGAGACCTTAAGGTCTTCAAACTTGGCCCTTTTATTCCTTGAGGACTTCAACTCCCAGAATTCCTCAGCCAAGCACGCTGGCTGAGGAATTCTGGGAGTTGAAGTCCACAAGTCATAAAAGGGCCAAGTTTGAAGACCCCTGCTTTATACCATTTCAGACAAGTGGCTGTCTAGTCTTTTCTTCAAAACCACCAGTGTTGGAGCACCAACAACTTCTGAAGGGAATCCCTTCCACTGGTTAATTGTTCTTACTGTCAGGAAATTTCTCCTTACTTCTAGCTTGCTTCTCTACTTGATTAGTTTCCACCCATTGTTTCTTGTCTCATCTTCTGGTGCTTAGGAAAATAGGTTCCCCCCCTTCTTTGTGGCAGCCCCTTAAATATTGGAATACTGCTATCAAGTCTTTGTACGTTTTAGCCTCCAGCCTCCAAACAATAGTGGCCAAAATTGTGGAAACCTTTTGGGAAAAGCGTACAGTAGAAATGCCATCTTTGGTTAAATTTTCACCAATTTTTCTTCTAATCTAGTTCACTTAATAATACTATTTTACATTGTTTTCTGGGCAACCAGTCAACTCTTTGCACCATTACTTTAATTTTATTACATTTTACAAGCTCACTAAATGAAAGAACACACAAAAAAAACCCAACCAACTTGATAGCAATCACATAACACACTGACAAATGTCCTCCTCTCAGCTTCAGTACATGACATCAATAACTGAATCCTACTGTGATCTGATTGGCTCATTGCCAAAACAAGATGACACCTGATTGGCTCTCTAAACACTCATGCTCCTTGGCTACAATCAGATGAAGGAAAGCTACCTGATATCAGCCTAAGCAAGTTGTGCTTCCTTTTTCTGGTTATTTGCCTATAACTTTTCATAGAATACAGTACAGATAATTGAACAAACGTTATTGCATTACATTCTTGATTAAATTATTTTTCCATTGATGTATAATTTTATGGTACTACTCAAAACAAAAGTGGTGTTATTAGCTATCAAACCTCAAAAATACACTTTTCCCAAAAGGTTTCCACAATTTTGGCCACTACTCTATATCTTTTTTGCTCTTTCATCTCTGTTAGTAAATATAAAGTCCAGTATAGCTGACCCTCTAATTCCGTCCTCTGTCTTTTGGATGACAAAGTAGTCACGTTCATAAGAAACTGGGCAACAATTTTTCTGGAATGGTATAAGGTCTCCTGCAAGAGCAGGGCATGGGACTAGAAGATCTCTAAGGTCCCTTTCAAGTCTGTTGTTTTGTATGGAACTGCCGTTTTCTTGACAATGACATTGGACAGATCTGCCACAGTGTCTTATGAGATTTTTTATTATTTACTTTCATTTCTAGCCAACAAGCATGGTATTTCCTATTGGTGCCCCATCCATGTGTTAACCAACTTCAACTATTGACCTTTTAGGATGTTCAGTTTGTATAGGCAGTCTTTGCTTACCATTTGTTTCCTAAGCCTTCAAAGTTACAATGGCACTGTGAAAACAGACGTACACCTGTTCCCCAAATTTCTGGTCATCGTAGCACTTGTTCAATGACCACACGTCAGCACTTTCTCTGGTTATGAAGATGCAAGAAAAGGAGTTGCACCAATTCAGGTTCTGCCAACCGATGCACATTTATAATGGTTGCAGCATCTCATACTCACAATCCCCATTTGTGACCTTTCCAGCTAGATTCTGACGAGCAAAATCAGTGGGGATGCCAGTAAGAAATTGCAAATCAAGGCCATGTGAAATTGCCTTTCACAACCCACAGTGACTTGCTTGACAATTGCAGGGGAACAGATGTTCAGAACAAAGTTCTTTACATTCACAACATTCATTTGAGGTTCCTTTATACAGTCTGGACACTTTGTCCAGTGCTAGATACCAGCAGTACATCATCTTATAAAAGTTTTCCTTTAATGTTTAATATGAATTTTAGATGGTTTATCTACCTATTGTCCCATTGTTCAAGCATTATATTACATTCCAAAGTTCTTTGCCTACTGAATCATACAAAGCTTTACATACTTATTCTCCAAGTTCAATTTCAATTACAGTTTATAACACTTAGCAATAATATGTTCAACACTACCACGCAATAGCATTTCTGATTCGTTTTTCACAAAATGAAATCCATGGGAAACACATCCTTCTGATTCCACCTGCTCTTTAGATTTGAAAATTGGGTTCACCATAATTGAAAGACATTATTTGACTGTAAGTCCAACTTTTTTCTTTAAAAAGGTTCCTGGGGAGACAGCCAAGGAGGCATCTTCCTATACCTAGAGAACTTTATTTTATATTTCTTCCAAATTCTTGAGATGGTACATCTAACAAAATGGTTATTATAATCAATATTTGTTTTAATCTTATCCTACCATAAATAGCTGTGCCATCAAAATCTTAATTCATGGGCCTCTAGTGTCAAGATTCTGATTGACGAACCCAACCAAGCAAACATCATTGAAACATTCTGATCTCTTAATGTAAAACTTTATTGAGTACATCATTTCAGCATGTATGAAAGCAAAACCAGCTCTGGCAAAACCCTACCCAATCTCACATAGTAAAAGCATGGAATTCTTCCTCCTCCTTGATCAGGTCACGTTGCCCAATTAAATGGAAAAATATTGTTATGAGAAAGTGTCTCTCGGTCTAATCAGAAACCTGGTGATGCTGTCCTTGATTCTTATGGTCCGGCTTCTTGATCTTTGAAATTTGCATCCCAATCCCTTTTCCTTCCCCCCCCCCAAGTTTGTTGGCAAGCTGAGAAACAATAACTGTAGCTCCAGCAAAACCGTGCTTCAAAACTCGACATCTAGCTCAAGTAATCTCCTGTTTTGCAGAGTCACCCACTCTTTTTGCCAGACAAAACAAAAAATCATCGAAGTACCATTTCAAATCTGGTAAACCCAAACCTTTTCTTTCCTTAGCGTCTTGCAATAATTTATATTTAATTATATTGCTTTCTTCTCTTGCAATATAAACTTAGAGATCTCCATCTGCCATTATATAAAGAGAGTATCAGTTACAAGTATTGATAAAGTCTGAAACAGAAAAATGATCTTGGGTAAAATATTTAATTTAATTATTTGAGATTCTGTCCAATAATTGTAATGCTAAGAATTTATTGTTGAGCCAAATCAACAAGTTTATTTCATGATTGAATGGATATTTGAACTTGGATCTCGATAATCTTCAATGTCTCAAATGAATCTTAGTTAATGTAAAAGGCTATTTTAGCATTGTGGCATGTTTGCTTTTTACTTGTATATTTTTTCATTTCATGTCTTTTGCAACCATGTTATAAACAATAAAAGTTACACTTTTATTTGAATCTTACAGACAGAGGATGCTAATAAGACCACTCCAGACAACTGAGAATAACAACATTGAAAAGGAAAGCAAATCAAGCTAGAAATCAAAATATTTTCCATTTCCTTCAGAAACCACACAATTCGCCTTCTTCCCCAGCAAGTGATAGACAAAAGAGAGAAAATCAAGAAAAGGTTTCAAACTGGAAAAAGTAGAGTATGTGGAACTGAAGGATACAAACATGAAAAGGTCAAGGCAGATTATTTTTCCATTCAAAAAAATAGGGAAATATCTAAAAGATAGTTGGGAGAAAAAGATCATTTGGGACGCCACGTCAAGCAGACAATAATGCAGGTCTCGCCCTGGGAGCAAGAAAAGAGTAACCAAATCAACACTAAACAAGGGATCACACACATAATTTTGACATCCTCAAGAATATCAGTGGTGGAAAAGCTCCACCAATGAGCATATCATTGGAAAGGTGCAGATTTCAAATCATAGATGATTATGAACAAAAGGGTCCATTTTGGAGAAAAGTACTCTGAAGATGTCAAAAGCCTTTGTCAGAACAGCTCCCTTGTGGTTTATGGAAGGACCCACAAAGTAGAAGAGCCCCACAAGTGCTCCCAATGCGGTAAATCATTTTCGAGCATGGCCACTTGATGATAACACTGGCTTCACACCAGGGAGAAGCCCTATGATTTCTCTGATTGTGGAAAAAGTTTCAGTCAGAACTCCAGCCTGGTGATACACTAGAGGATGCAGAGAGAAAAGAAATCATATGAGTGCCCTGATTGTGGGAAACGTTTCAAGGCAGATTCCCACCTCGTGAGACACAAGAGGTCTCACACAGGAGAGAAACCCTTTCAATGTCCTGACTGTGGGAAAAGTTTCAGTCAGAGGTCTGGCATGGTGATACACCAGAGAAATCACACAGGAGAGAAACCATATGAGTGTCCAGATTGTGAGAAAAGTTTCATTAGAAAATTCCAGCTCACGAGTCACCAGAGAATACACATAGGAGAGAAACCCGTTGAAACTCCTAATTGTGGGGAACGTTTCAGTCAGAATTATGAACTGGTGATTCACCAGAGAAATCACACAGGAGAAAAATGTTTTGAATGTGCTCTTTGTGGGAAAAGTTTCAGTCACAATTCCAGCCTGGTGATACACCAGAGGACTCACACAGGAGAAAAACCATATGAGTGTCCAGATTGTGGGAAAAGTTTCATTAGAAAATTCCAGCTCACAAGTCACCAAACAATACACACAGGAGAGAAACCCTTTGAATGTCCTGATTGCGGGAAACGTTTCCGTCAGAACTCCTGCCTGGTGAGACACCAGAGGACTCACACGGGAGACAAATATTTTGAATGTGCTCTTTGTGGGAAAAGTTTCAGTCACAATTCCAGCCTGGTGATACACCAGAGGACTCACACAGGAGAGAAACCATATGAGTGTCCAGATTGTGGGAAAACTTTCAGTCACAATTCCAATCTGGTGAAGCATCAGAAAACTCACACAGGAGAGAAGCCCTTTCAGTGTCCTGATTGTGAGAAAAGTTTCAGTCAGAATTATGAACTGGCAACACACCAGAGAAAGCACACAGGAGAGAAACCATATGAATGTCCAGTTTGTGGGAAAAGTTTCAGTCACAATTCCAGCCTAGTGAAGCATCAGAGGATTCACACAGGAGAAAAACCATTTGAATGTCCTGACTGTGGGAAAAGTTTCAGTCAGAATTATGAATTGATGATACACCAGAGAAATCACAAACGAGAGGAAATGTATGAATGTCCAGAATGTGGGAAAAGTTTCAATCAGAATTCTAACCTGGTGAAACACCAAAAAATACATACAGGGGAGAAACCTTTTGAATGTCCTATTTGTGGGAAAAGTTTTAGTCAGTACTGCAGCCTGGTGAATCACCAGAGAACTCACACAGGAGAGAAACCTTTTGAATGTCCTGATTGTGGGAAGAGTTTCACTCACAATTCCTATCTAGTGAACCACCAGAGGAGTCATACAGGAGAGAAATCATATGAGTGTCCTGATTGTGGGAAAAGTTTCATTAGAAAATTCCAGCTCACGAGTCACCAGAGGACTCACACAGGAGAAAAACCATATGAGTGTCCGGTTTGTGGGAAAACTTTCAGTCACAATTCCAGCCTGGTTAACCACCTAAGGATTCACACAGGAGAGAAACCATATGAGTGTCCAGTTTGTGGGAAAAGTTTCAGTTACAATTCCGGCTTGGTTAACCACCTAAGGACTCACACGGGAGAGAAACCATATGAGTGTCCAGATTGTGGGAAAACTTTCAGTCACAATTCCAGCCTTGTTAACCACCTAAGGACTCACACAGGAGAGAAACCGTATGAGTGTCCAGTTTGTAGGAAAAGTTTCAGTCACAATTCCTATCTGGTGAACCACCAGAGGACTCACACAGGAGAGAAATCATATGAGTGTCCAGTTTGTGGGAAAAGTTTCATTAGAAAATTCCAGCTCATAAGTCATCAGAGGACTCACACAGGAGAAAAACCGTATGAGTGTCCGGTTTGTGGGAAAACTTTCAGTCACAATTCCAGCCTGATTAACCACCGAAGGACTCATACAGGAGAGAAACCGTATGACTGTCCAGTTTGTGGGAAAAGTTTCAGATACAATTCCAGCCTGGTGAGCCACCAGAAGACTCACACAGATGAGAATCCGTATAAGTGACTAGATTGTGGGGACAGTTTCATTAAAATATTTGAGCTCATGAGTCACTAAAGGACTCACACAGGAGAGAAACCCTTTGAATGTCCTGTTTGTGGGAAAAGTTTCAGTCTGAATTCCAACTTGGTGATACACCTGAGGACTCATATGGGAGAGACCTTTCAAATGTCCAATCTGTGGATGGTACTTCAAGCATAAGTCTCCACTTATTGAACACAAGGAATTTGACATGAGGCAAAATTTGATGAATTTAGAGAAAGCTTGAATTTCATTTCTGATCTCCCACTGAGAGTGTTGGTGAGAAACTGACTATTTTAATTCTAGCCTAATCCTTTTTAGTCCACACATCTCAGGTTTAGACCAGTTGGCAGAGAGAATTAAGTGGAAATTGTTAATTTGATAAAAGCTAATTACCTGTTTCTGGTTATCTGCAGAAGTTTCTGGATATTTCTTTATGCAGAAGTTGTGGAGTTCCTCACAAAGGCTTTTGGTTGATATTTTTTGTATATTGATTATGGAATTCCCATCTGCGGAGTTCTCTGAACCTCACGTTGGGGAAGGAGGACAGGACATGCATCACTAGGCTTCATGACTATGTGAAAGCAGCCATTATTTTCACTGTGTCTGGGATTCACCCCTGGGCCATGTGGTGGACTTGTGGAAGCAGCTGCCATTTTGCCATGCCTGCCTCAACAAAGGAATAATGTCAAGACAACAAGAAGAGACAGAGCTTTACACAGTGTTGGTGACACCACACTTAGAATACTGTATCAAGTTCTGATCACCATGATACAAAAAAGTTGTTGAGACCTGGAAAGTGTGCAGAGAAGAGCAGCAAAGATGATAAAGGGTGACTAAATCTTATGATGATCAATTGTGGGAGCTAGGTATATCTAGGGCAGTGATGGTGAACCTTTTAGAGACCGAGTGCCCAAAAACTGCACCGCCTCCTGGCCCACCCCCGCTCTTCCCCACCCCCACTCCACTCCCACTTTGCCCTGCCCCGCCTGCCCACAGGGTCACCCACTGGTTCCATGGCCCGCCGCAGCAGATTGCCCAGGGGCCCAGCAGTGCCATGGCAGCCACACCCTCTGCCCGTGCCCCGCAGCATCAACTGCATGTGATGGGCCATGAAGGTGAAGTCTTGTTCCTGCTGCCCGGCTGCCATTTGTTTGGCTGTGCTGCTCTGCGCGGGCCGCGCACAGGGGCGACTCTCCTCTGGGGTAACTGCTGGGGAGGAGGGTGGCAGGGGGAAGCGGGCTGGGGTGACTGTGCGCAAGCCCACAGAGAGGGCTCCAAGTGCCGCCTTTGGCACGCATGCCATAGGTTCACCACCACTGATCTAGGGTATCAAAGGCAATCATTAGGAGGGACATGATAGCTACCTTCCAGTACTTGAGGGACTGTCACCAAGAAGAGGGGATTGACTTATTCTCTAAGGCACCTGAGGGCAGGGCAAGAAGAAATGGGTGGAAGCTTGTTGAAATGAGGTCCAATATAGAAGTAAGGAGAAATTTTCTGTCAGTGAGGGCAATTAATCAATAGAATAGCTTGCCTTGAGCAGCGGGTTGGATTAGAAGATGTGCAGGGGGCCTTGCAAGCCTATGATGCTATGTTTCAGTGAATTTAGGGGCAGTTTAGACAATAGGCACAGAGCAGCTCTATGAACCTGCTTCTCATAAAGGGGCTTTTTTAAAAAAGTATTTTATTCAGAAAATTTATATAAAATACAAAATCCCCCCTAAAAAGGAAATTTTTTCAAAACAAAACAAGAATGGACAAAACATTTAAAAAGAAAAAAAATGTGCATTAAAAAAGACAAAAACAGATTCATAAATATATTGAAGCAATATTAATTTTCCTCCCTTGCGAAGCAGGCCCAACATATATAAAGTTATACCTCTTATTTACAACCACTCTGACTGTCCTTTATCTACTATAGAAAGAGGCAAAGTAGTTAACGGGTGAATCGATAGCAAAGTTAAAACGTCAACGCACTTCGTTAACAACCTAGTCTTGCATTTAATTTATATAAAGTCTAGAACGGTTTGTATTTACCATAAGTCACCACAGTCATTGTCTTGGATCTATCCGGGATGAAATATCTTCGTTTGATTATTATTAATAAAACTTAAGATTTTGGTTGAAAACAATAAAACAAAATCATAAACCTCTGTCCATCCATTTTCCCAAAAGAATCCAGCCCAAATTGTTTTCCCGTTAGATATGGGAAGTCCGTTCCCCAGTTATCACCAACTTCTTCAGAACGTCCCGTTCATCACCTATCAAGTCTGTTAAGTCCAAATCCGTAGAATCCACATCCTCTTCAGCCTTCTCCAACCAGCCTAAACCATGATAAGGGAACTTTTGAGAAGTTGCTATGCTCCCCAAGGCAGCTTCTTGGGATGAGCTGAGCTCACTAAGCCATCCATTTGGGAGGGAACCTTCCATTTGTGTGCGCTCATAATCCAAAATGCCTCCATCAGTCCCAGAGGAAGGAGACCTTCCAGAGCAGAAATGTTTTTTTTTCTCACCAGGATCCTTCACATCCTTCAGAGTAATGCACCAGCTGGGTATGTGAAAGGAAAAAATATCACTATTTTATCTGATTCAAACATCTTGATAGATCTCAGTGTTAGAGGACTTATTGAATAAATGAAGGCCTAGGGGCAGGGATAGGCCACCTTGGCTCTTTTATGACTCGTGGACTTCGACTCCCAGAATTCCTGAGCCAGCCATGCTGAGGGGAAAGGGAGAGGTTTCCAAGCTGAGCCATGCTGGCTCAGGAATTCTGGGAGTTGAAGTCCACGAGTCGTAAAAGAGCCAAGGTTGCCTACTCCTGGTCTAAGGGCTATTCTAAGTGTTATTTATATAGCCTAGGGCAGGTGTAGGCCATCTTGGCTCTTTTATGACTCGTGCACTTCAATTCCCAGAATTCCTGAACCAGCATGGCTCAGCTTGGAAACCTCTCCCTTTCCCCTCAGCATGGCTGGCTCAGGAATTCTGGGAGTTGAAGTCCACGAGTCATAATATTTAATATTTTTAATTGTTTTTAATATTTTTAATTCAATTGTTTAATATTGGAAGTATTAAACCAAAGTTTCAGCTATGGCCTCTTTCACAATATGATAACAATATTTGTAACCAGAACTTTTGTTTCTGCATCTGGCCCTCATTTCAATGAGTAATGTAAGTATTGTCTGTGTGTTCTAAAATTTCAATAAAACCTCTGAATTCTAAAGTGAGATATTTTTTATCTGTTTCTCTTGCCATTAATGGACTTTCCCGACAGTTACGACATTTCCTCCCTGTGATGCTTCCAGCAAATGACTGGCAGATGGCTTTTTTTTCTGGGTGTAATACAGATAGCCCTCCCTTACCATTTGCCTCGCTTAGTAACCATTCAAGATTAGGATGGTATAAAAAAATCAGCTTTGCAAAAAATCCTTGCATTTTAAAACATCAAATTATCCCACGATCATTAGCATGCTTTCCAACCACTGAAGGCAAGCAAACTTCATGGAGAAGATAGAAATAAACTCACCAGTAGCAGTCAGGTGATGTCTCACTTAATGTCTACTGTGATTCATTTATTGTCCAGAGGCCAAATGAGGTCAAAACCCTGTTTACAATCAGGTGATTTTTTTACTTAGCAGTCATGAATCTTAGCAACAGAATTGCCAGTCACAATTGTAGTCACTAAGTGAGGACTACCCATGTTTCATTCATCACCACCCTTCAGGCTTCTTCCTGCAGTGGATGGGGAGAAAGTCAATGTGCAGTAGGGGGTCTCTCTGGATGGTTTTCCTGTTAGAGAGCTGGGGTGCTGCAGGGGCAAAGATGCTGTTGCTGGGGTACAAATGGGGACACCCAAATTCCAGCCTCTTCTCAGCCATGAAAGGTCCCTCAGACTCAACCCCACTTGATAGACCAGATCAAGAAATCCGCAATACAGGAAGACTCTAACACAGGGATGTCAAACTCAATTTCATTGAGGGCCACATTGGCATTGTGGTTGCCCTGTGGAGGGGTGGCTGATGTGGAATTGGTGAAGTGATTGTGGCCGACTTGGTAGGTATGGCCAACTCATGTCAGGGGGCCCTTGTGTGGGGTGGGGGGGATCCAGGTGTCTCCAGCAGAGGGCGGCAGGACCAGGGCTGGCACCAGGGCCTGATCCACTGGAGGAGCATTGCCAACTTTCGCTACCTGGTACTCTGGGCAACGGGCGCCCAGCCCAGACCTTGAGCTCCTGGGGAGCCGGGACCCTATGGGTTGGCCCCACATCCCCGATGGGATGCCCATCCATGCATTTCTTCTTAAGGCTGCTGCTGCTGCTGTGCTCACTCTTTAATAATGATGATGATGATGATGTTGGAAGGGACCTTGGAGGTCATCTAGTCCAGGGTTTTTCAACCAGTGGTATGGGTACCACCTGTGGTACATTGGCACTTGGCAGGTGGTACATGATCATCTTCGAAAAGTGGTAGCGGGGAAGGGGAATGAGTTGAACTGGTGGCAGCACCGCAAAAGCCTGAGCGAGAGGTGGCTGGAGCTGCAGGGCTGTCAGGGCTCAGCGGAAGCGCCTGGATCAGCGCCAGGCTCCAGCTGGAGCTCAGCGCTGTTCCTAGTGCTTCTGCTGAGCCCTGAAGAAGCACCAATCAGCTGGAATGTTGCAGCATCTCCAGGGCCTTGTGATTTACATTCAGATGCTTGGCAACTGATTCATATTTATGATGGTCACAGTGTCCGAGGGTCATGTGAAGTGACCAAAACCTGCTGCAACCACCCAGCAGATGGGGGAATAAAAATCAAACACCCCCCCCACCCCACCCCTATTGCCAATCCTCAACAGAAATGCTCACAATAATGAAAATCTCGGACAGGAGGAAGAGCGCCACTGGGCAGGCAGGCAGGTGTCTTGCTCAGCTGTAGCTTGGGGAGGGCACTTTTTCAGTGCCATCGTAATTTCGAACAGTCACTAAGCAAACTGTTGTAAGTCGAGGACTACTTGTACTTTATTACTTTTTTCCTTTTTTTTTTTGGTCATCAAGTTTTTGACACCTTGCTAGGTGACTGATGGTACTCGGATGTTGCCATATCCTAAAAGTGGTACAATGGGTATGTCTTTCATGTATCCAGACTTACAGCCTAAATGTTGGAGATGTGGCTCCCTGGATGCCACATTATCATATTTGGTGGTCGTGTAAAAATATAAAAGCTTTTTGGATTAAGATATGGTGGAACATTCAGAGAATTTTTAGAAAGAGGGTAAAATTTACTCCACAATTGTTTTTGCTTGGTATTGTTACTGATTGTGATGCTAAGGTTATATTGATGTTGAATCTGATTACAGCCGCAAAGCTGTTAGTAGGTCAATACTGGAAGAAGGAATCTTTGCCTACTTTGCAAGAGTGGTTTTTTAAAGTATCTTACTTGGCGGAAATGGCAAAGATTTCGGCTTTCTTAAAAGAGCAAACGCAAGAGAAATTTTTTGCTGTATGGGAAAAATGGATAAATTTCATACAATTTAAACTGGATTTGAAAAAATATCATTTAGCTTTTTTATAATTTGTATAAAAACTCTACTTTTTATTTTTTTTCTTTGTTTTTCTTTTTTAAATACTTTCTCTTTTTAAGGATTATAATTCTTTTTTCATATATATTTTATTTTTAATTATCTTATAATTTTGTTAATTTTTTTTTAATTAAGCCTATATTCTGCTCTGGGAAGCTCCGGGGGGGGGGGAGGGAGGGGGTGGTTTGGGGGAGGGTTGTATTGTTTTGTTTTTTTGTTGTTGTTATTGTTTTTTTTCTGTCTTTGTAAAAGTTTTTAAAAAATTTTTCAATTAAAAAAAAAAAAAGTGGTACAATGGGTGAAAAGGTTGAAAAGCCCTGATCTAGTCCAACCCCCTGCTCCGGCAGGAAACCCTATTCCATTTCAGACAAATGGCTGTCCAGTCTCTTCTTAAAAACTTCCAGTGTTGGAGCATTCACTGCTTCTGGAGGCTGGGGGGGGGGAGGAGACTGAGGGGCGACAGGGTTGCTGCTGCTTGTGCCACAGTCGCAAGGTAAGGTGAGGCAGGTGGCACAGCGGGGGTGGCCTGGCTGTGGGGCGCGTGATGCAGCTCTGGGACTGGACTCCAGCAGAACAGGGAGGGGAGCCCCAGCTGCCTGTTGGGTATAGGGGCTCCTGGCCCTTACCGTTCGCAGGGATCATTGGGGGTGGGGGAATAGGTGGCAAGCTCAATGGAGGACAAGATTGGACGGCGAGGGCCGAGCCCCAGACATGTCTGCTCTTAACACTTGTTTTCAATTGAGACTGAAGGTAATAAGAAAATCTTGCAAGTCTGATTACGTTGTGCCTCCCCCCCCACCGAAACCTATGCTCCTGTGAATGAAAGGTGTTCGTTTGAACCTGTTTGTAACATTATCTCTCTCTGTTGTGGACTTGAGGTAGGTTGCTTATCCCCTAAAGCAGGGGTCCCCAACCCCCGGTCTGTGGACCAGTACTGGGCTGTGGCATGCCAGTAGCCGGTCCCCACAAACAAGCAAAGACCCATCTGTGGGATGCAGGCAGCACACAAAACGAAACACACTTTGGTGCGTGGAAAAACCTTTCTCCACAGAACCGATCTCTTTTGCCCAAAGGTTTGAGGACTTCTGCCCTAAGACTATTTTCTTTACTCTCTGCCCTGGAGGCCTCTGGGCATAGGACTGGCATCTGTGTCACTAAGCAGCCAGTCATTAAGCATGGGGTCACATGACAGTGCCAACTTACATCAGTTCCTCTGCAGTTGTTAAGCAAAACATGACCGTGACTTGCAAATTCCTGCTGGCCTTCCCCACTTATTTTTCTTGTCAGAAGCTAGTGGGAAATGCGGACTGTGAGCGTGGGATGCTGGAACCATTATAAATGTGCACCCGTTTGTTCCATTTTATGACCTTTCTTGCCACAGTTGTAAAGTGAATCGCTGCAGGGTTCCGTTAGTAATGGGTTTGGGTTTTTCGTATTAACATTTTTTATTAGTCAAAATATAAAATGCAAAGGAAAATAAAATAGTGGGAAACTAACGGAAGAAAAAAGGCACGTTCACTTTCAGTTATATTTTACAAACTTAAAAACTACTCAAGCATTATATATGAAGGGAAACAACATTTTCAAACCCACTTTATAAATACAAAACTGTATTAAAGCTTTCTATTACACAGATCAGGCCAATACAAATCCGAGTAACTCCAATTAGCTCATTAAATTTAAGTCACTGTCGAATTTATTCTCATAAACTCTTTTTCTTCTCTAGAATATCTATTAAATAAATATGAAGTTCTATTTATCAAAGTATTCTCCACCTTGTTAGTGTCCATGTAGAAAAGTCCAAAAATGTCCCCTAAAACAACCTGCGGGCTGCGGCCCATTACCGGGCAGTGGCCTAATTTGCCACATGAATGTCCGGCCGGTGTGTGCGGACAGCCCAAGGTGTGTGAACCTCATTGCAGGCCCTTGTGGCCCCACTCGTGTGAGCCTCGTAGCCAGCATTCACGGCCTCACACTCACCGGCTCCTCCCAAAAAAATCATCCCTTTCCCCCCCTCCAGACCACCAACCTGTAAAGATGGGGAACTCTGCTCTAAAGAGTTGCAAATTTACTTGGAACTCTTACTTTAAATTGCGCTGAGAGGTTTAAACAGCCATCTTCAAGCCTAGTGAACGGCCACTTAAATATGAGCCAGCAGTGTGCAGCAGCAGCCAAAAACGCTAATACAATCCTTGGTTGCATAAACAGAGGGATAGAGTCAAGCTCATGTGCTTAGTACCACTATATAAAAACGTAGTAAGACCACATCTGGAATACTCCATCCAGTTTTGGTCACCACATTGTAAAAATGATGATGAGACTTTGAAAAGAGGGCAGAGAAGAACAACTAACATGATTAAGGGCTGGCAACTAAAACATATGAAGAATGGTTTGAGGATTTGGATATGGCTAGTCTAGTGAAAAGAAGGACCAGAGGTGATATGATAGCTGTGTTCCAAAATTGGAGGGGCTGCCACAAAAAAGAGGGGGCCAACCTATTTTCCAAAGCACCAGGTGAGACAAAAAACAACGGAAGGAAACTAATCAAGGAGAGAAGCAACCCAGAAATAAGGAGAAACTTCCTAACAGTGAGAACAATTAACAAGTGAAACTGCTTATCTTCAGAAGTTGTGGGTGCTTCATCACTGAAGGCTTTTAAGAGATTGGACAACCACTTGCCTGAAATGGTATAGGGCAGGGGTATGCAACCTTGGCTCTATTCTGGGAGGTGAAGTCCACGAGTCATAAAAGAACCAAGGTTGCCTACCCGATATAGGGTATACGGTCTCCTGCTTGAGAAAATAGGTTGACTCCCTCTTCGTGACAGCCCCTCGTGACAGCCTATTCGTGAAAACCACCAGTAATGGAGCAGCCACAATCTCTGGTGGCAAGCTATTCTTTTGATTAATTGCCCTCACTGACAGAAAATTTCTCCTTGCTTCTATGTTGGATCTCATTTTAATAAACTTCTTGTCTTGCCTTAGTAAGTCAGTCCCCTCTTCTTGGTGACAGCCCCTCAAGTGCTGGAAGACAGCTATCGTGTCCCTCAAGTATGAGTCCCTTTGATAGCCTAGATATAGCTATCTCCCACAACTGATCACCATATGATTTAGAGTCCAGACCCTTTATCATCTTTACTGTTCTTCTTTGCACAACTTCCAAGGTCTCAAGAACTTTTTGTATCATGGTGACCAAAACTGGACAAAGTATTCTAAGTGTGGTGTCACCAGCATCGTGTAAACCAATTCTATCTCTTCTTGTTGTCTCAACACTATTCCTATTGAGGTAGCCTAGGACTGCATTGCCTTTTTTGTGGAGCTGCAGCACAATACTGTCGCAAATGGTGCTTCTCCACTTATCATGCACCCCAGGGATACATGGCCTGCCCTTTTGGAGATCTCCTGGAGGCAGCCACCATTTTCAGTGCACCCACAATCCCTTAACACAATCTACAAAGTGTTAAGGTAGCAAAACAGAACAGTTGGTCCCACTCCCAGGTGACAGTGACAAAGATGCAGCCACCATTTTGACCCAGAGGCAGGCATGGCAAAATAACAGCTGCTTCCACAAGTCCACCATATGGCCCGTGCCCTCCTTCACCAACTTGAGGTTCAGAGATCTTCAAAAGGTATGGAGGAGGAGGCTGTGAAGCGTGGTGTGGTGGAAGTCAGGCTTAAGGATTGAAGGGATCCAATGGGAGTCGGGAAAAGGCTGTGGGGGACCCTGGGGAAGGGAAAGGCCTGGGGGGAACTAACAGGGTAAGGAGGTCTTTGGAAGGCAAGCCTGGGTCTGTGCTTTCATGACATAGTAATGTAGCCCACGGATGCATGTCCTGCTCTTCTTCACAAACTTGAGGTTCAAAAGGTAAAATTTGTTTAACAGCTTCATAAGGAAGAGAAGGTAGGATAGTTCATCAAGGTAGTCTTGCTGAACCACCAGTGCAAGATGCAACTGTAATTGACAGACCCCATTACAATTGTTATCTCGAGGATTATTTGTATCTTGGCTGGGGAATTCTGGCGCTCAAAATCTGGAGGACACCAAGTTAGAAGAATGAAACTTCACATATTGGGAATTCCATAAACAATATACAAAAAACATTACCCAAAAGCCTTTTTGACAAATTGCACAACTTCTGCAAAAAGGAAATATCCAGTAATTTCTGCTGATAACCAGAAAGATAAAGTTAGCCTTTATCAAGCTAATAATTTCCTCTTTTTTCTCTCCACCAACTGGTCTAAACCTGAGATGTGTTGACCAAAAAGCATCAGGCCAGAATTTAAATAGTTAATTTCTCACCTACACTCTCAATGCGAGATCAGAAATGAAAATCAAACCTTCTTTAAATTAATTAACTTTTGCCTCATGTCAAATTCCTTATGTTCAGTAAGGGGTGATTTACACTTGAAGTAGATTCCACAGATTGGATATTTGACAAGTCTCCTCCCATGTGAATCCTCTGATGCATCAACAGGTTGTAAGTATGACTGAAACTTTCCCCACAAACAGGACATTTAAAGGGGTTCTCTCCTGTGTGTGTTCTCTGATGTCTCACCAGGTGGGAATTCTGACTGAAACCTTTCCCACAATCAGGACATTCAAAGGGTTTCTCTCCTGTGTGAATTCTCTGGTGGTTCACCAGGTAGGAATTTTCCTTGAAATTTTTCCCACAATCAGGACATTCAAATGGTTTCTCTCTTGTGTGAATCCTTTGGTGTGTCACCAGACTAGAACGGTAATTGAAACTTTTCCCACAAACTGGACACTCATATGGTTTCTCTCCTGTGTGAATCCTGTGGTGTATCACTAGTTCATAATTCTGACTGAAACTTTTCCCACAATCAGAACATTCAAAGGGTTTCTCTCCTGTGTGAGTCTTCTGATGTTTTACAAGGTTGGAATTGTGACTGAAACTTTTGCCACAATCTAGACACTCATATGGTTTCTCTCCTGTGTGAGACCTCTGGTGTATTACTAGGCTGAAATTCTCTCTGAAACTTTTCCCACAGAGAGCACATTCAAAGGGTTTCTCTCCTGTGTGAGTCCTCTGATGTCTCACCAGGTCAGAATTTTGACTGAAACTCTTCCCACAATGAAGACATTCAAATGGTTTCTCTCCTGTGTGTATTCTCTGGTGACTCATGAGCTGGAATTTTCTAATGAATCTTTTCCCACAATCTGGACACTCATATGATTTCTTTTCTGTGTGAGTCCTTTGGTGTCTCACTAGGGTGGAATTCTGACTGAAAGCTTTCCCACAATGAGGACATTCAAAGGGTTTCTCTCCTGTGTGAATCCTCTGGTGTGACAGCAGGCTGGAATTGTAACTGAAACCTCTCCCACAATCAGGACATTCATAGGGTTTCTCTCCTGTATGAATCCTCTGGTGTGACAGCAGGCTGGAACTGTAACTGAAACCTCTCCCACAATCAGGACATTCATAGGGTTTCTCCCCTGTGTGAGTCCTCTGGTGTTTCACCAGGCTGGAATTGTGACTGAAACCTTTTCCACAATGAGGACATTCAAAAGGTTTGTCTCCTGTGTGAGTCCTCTGGTGTATCACCAGGCTGGAACTATGACTGAAACCTTTCCCACAATCAGAACATTCAAAGGGTTTCTCTCCTGTATGAATCCTCTGGTGTGACACCAGGTTAGAAATCTGACTGAAACTTTTCCCACACTCGGGACATTTAAACGGTTTCTCTCCTGTGTGAGTCCTCTGGTGTGTCTCCAGGTTAGAAAACTGAATGAAACTTTTCCCACACTCAGGACATTTAAAAGGTTTCTCTCCTGTGTGAATCCTCTGGTGTATCACCAGGTGTGATTTCCGACTGAAACGTTTCCCACAATTAGGACATTCAATGGGTTTCTCTCCTGTGTGACTCCTCAGGTGTAGCACCAGGTGGGAATTCCGAGTGAAACGTTTCCCACAGTCCAGACATTCAAAGAATTTATCTCCTTTTTGAGTCCTTTGGTGACTCATGAGGTGGGAATGTCTAATGGAACTTTTCCCCAAACTGGACACTCATACACTGTCTCCTTGGTGTGAGTCCTCTGATGTATCACCAGGTTGCTGTAATTGCTAAGGCATTTATCATAGTGAGAGCATTTATAGGGCATCTATCCTGTCTGTGTCTTTCCACGAACCACAAGAGATCTGTTCAGACTAAACCTTTTGTCACATTTCTAGCATTTCAATGGCTTTTCTACAGTGTGGATCTTTTCATGCATAATCAGTTGCTTTGTACTATTTGTGTTTTTCTCACAATAAGCACATCTATGCAGTTTTTCCACCACTGATATTCTTGAGGGGGTCAAAAATATGGGTGATCCCTTGTTTAGTAGTGCTTTGATTCAAACCATTGTTTTTTGCACACGGTGAGGCCTGCCTTATTGTCTCCTCTACGTGCCTGTCTAATTGACCTTTTCTTGCCACTGACTTCCAGATATTTCCCTCTTTTTCTGAATGAAAAATAATCTCTTGATTTTTCATGTAATGTATCCTTGAGTTTTGTAAAGTCTACTTTTCCCAGCATGAAATCTCTTCTTGATTTTCTCTTGTTTCTCTCTCACCTGCTGAGGAAGGTGAAGAATTGTGTAGCTTTCTGAAGGAAATGGAAAATATTGATTTGTTTTCCTTTTCAATGTTGCTTGTTATTCTCAGTTGTCCAGAATGCTCTTATTGCCACTCTTTGTCTATAAGATTCAAAGAAAAGTGTAACTTTAGTTGTTTATAAAATGTTGCAGAAGATGTGAAAAAAAGAAAAAAGTATATCTTACAATGAATAAGTAGACATGCCACAATACAAGAATAATCTCTTATATTAATTATGATTCATTTGAGACATGGAAGACTACCGAGATCCAAGTTCAAATATCCATTCCGTCATGAAATTCTCTTTTTGACTTGAGTCAATCACAAATTCTTAGCAGTGCAAAGGGTTATCCTCAAATATACCTTGAAGTGCTGGGAATAGATTATACAGTTGTTGATATAGGCATAGAGAGAAATACAAATATACACACATCAAATGTATATACCGAGTTTTCCCGAAAGCCCTAGTTTTGGGGCGAGGCACACACCTAAAAATCAAGCTACGGTGGGGGTGGGGGCAGGGTGGGGTTCCCCACCCGCCCTGCATCCACTGATCTTGCAGCCAGGCATCTGCTTCCTGGCCTACTTCTTCTTCTGAGGCCTCTTCTGCAGTCAGGCCTTCATTTCTTAGTCACAGGGCTTTCCAGAAGGCCTGTGCAGCCAAGAACCAAGCTATAGCTCAGTACTCGGCTGCTTAGACCTTCTGGAAAGGCCTGACTGTAAAATGCAGGCCCAAATGCAGCTGCAAAACTTCAGCCTCAGACAAAGTGGACTGGCTGGGTGGAGCTGTCGTTGCTGGCAGTGAGGTAAGGCCTACACCAAAAATAGGACCTGGTGCCTCCTTTGGGGAAACATGGTATGTGGAAAGTCCATGTGTTTTCAGCCTGAAAATTATCCCAAAATGGTTGCAGTCAAACCTTTTGAGGCAATTTCAGAGACATGGAAGCTTTAACTGATGAATTGATGCCTAAAGCCTCTGCAAAATTTAAAGCACCAGTGTCAGCTCTGCCTGCCTCAGCTGGGGCCTCACAGGCATTCTGCCATCAAAAGAAGAAGGGGGAGAGAGGATGAAAGGGAGAAAGATGAAAGGGCAATAAATCTTTGTGTGTGTGTGTGATAGGAAATCAGGAAGGGGGGAATGTCAGGTGGGAGGGATCAGAGCAGCCAGATCCTGTTTGTACCAGCATCCCATGGCCGGGCCTCCTGAGAAATATATGTATTACCCACAAACATCTCAAAACATCTTGGTGAGTTCCAGTTGGCTGGAAATGGACTGGTCATGTGGGGAGAGATGGGCTGGGGGCAAACCTACCCCTTGTTTTGCATCCAGCGAGTTTCAGAGCTGGCTTGAATTTACAGCAACCAACACTCTTAGTAAAATAACCCTTTGCTTTAATCAAATGGAGTAGAAGGCTTTTCTTTCCTAAAGGATCGGATTCGGGTAGGTTTGACATTAAGCCAACAATGCAGTTGTGGCCACCCTTTTTCTGTGTCAGCCCCTCAAATATTGAAAGACTGCTATCAAGTCACCCTTAGTCCTTCTCTCCGTTAGAGTAGATATATCCAGTGCCTGCAATCGTTCATCATATCTTTTAACCTCCAGTTCCCGTCTCAACATCTCTTTTGCATCATAAGTGACCAAAAGTGCACATCAAAACTGGTGTAGTCTTACTTATAATGCAGTACTAACACTCATGTGATCTTGATACCATCCCACTGTTGATGCAGATTAGGACTGCACTGGCTTTTTCTGCAGCTGCAGCACATTGCAAGCTCATACTTCAGTGGTTGTCCACTGGGACTCCTAGATCCCTCTCACAGTTACTGCTGTCAGGTCTACCAGGTACGGTTTGGCACCTCATAGGCATTCTGCCATCAAAGGCTAGAAAGAGAGAGAGATGGGCAATAAAGCTGTATGTGATGGGAAATAGGGAGCGGTGAATGACAAGAGATGAAGACCAGAGAAGCTCAATACCAATCTGCATCAGAATCCCAGGCCAGGCACCCTGAGAACAAAACATCTTGGCGAATTCTGACTGGATGGAATTGGCCTGGTCACAGGGAGAGGGCTGGGATGAGGGGAATCCTTTTTGTATTTTTTGGTGTGCAAAATCTAAAGCTAGCCAGACCTTACAGGAGCCAACATCCTTTTAGTAAAAGAACCTTTTGCTTCAACTCAATGGAGTCGAGGGTCTTTATTCTTGAGGGATCAGAATGGGGCAGGTCTGACATTAGGCTAAAGATAACAAAGATAACAAGATACCGCTTTGCAGTTGTAGTCAATCAGGAGAGGATATCACCTCTACTATTGGGAACATAGAAACAATGTCAGCTCCAGGGAGCAACAGGAAGAGATTGAAGCCTGGGGGAAACATCCTCAAATCCCCCTCTTGGAGGACTAGATCTCTCCGAGTGGCTGGGAAAGGATGATCCACCAAGACCCTGATGGTCCCTCAAATTCAGGAGAAAGGAAGAGTGGGAGGAGAAACCCATGGGAGTCACATTCACCCATGGGAGCCGTGGCAGCTGCTGGAGGGAGACGCAAGCGGAGCTGGAGGTAACTTGAAGAAAAGGCCAACCATAGGCGAGCCGGATTGAGAGGACTGGATGTTGGAGGAAGCCAACTGAAAGGGGCTTTTGGCAACCTCACATACGAGAAGCCTTGGCCTGGCTGGTACACCCCAATGATCATCTGGCTCTGAGCATGGCAAGTGATGGGGCAAAGACCTTGGCTCCACAATAGCGAGTGTCCCTGCACCTGGCCCTACAGCCAAGCTCGCACCAGCTGTAGGAGCAGTGCCAGCATGGAGGAGAAGATGCAAGACACTAGCCCTGGTTCAACAGAGACCCCAGACAGTTAGGGTTCTTCCTAATGCAGGTTCCAATTTACATACAAGAGTATGGTCCAGAAATAGCCACTGAAGGAACAAAGGTGAGGTGCATGACCATGGCATTGGAGAGGACAATGGCCGAATGGATGATCCCCCTCCATAACGACATCTGAGAGTTGACAAATTTTGACCGTGTCATGGTCACACTTCAAAGACCCCTTAGTCAATCACAAGGCCAGAGACCATATAAAGACTATCAGCCAGGGACGTAGGGGAGTGGCCAAATACACACAGGAGTTTTACGACCTAGCTGGCTGACTGACTAACTGGCTAGAGGAAATCCTGTTCGAGTGCTTCTGAGACGGGCTAAGACAATACCTATATCTCCATGGGTGTCACCCCTCCCTGTGGCTGGCATGCCCTAGTGGAGGAAGTGGAAATCGACCTAAAGCGGTGTGTGTACGCAATGACAAATAGGGAAGGGGGGAAATGACAGGTGATGAAGACCATAGAAGCTTGGCACTAGTTTGCACCAGAATCCAAGTTTAGGCATCCAGGGAAAGAATGCCTTTTGCCCCAAAACATACTGGCATTCTCCAAACATCTTGGCGAGTTCTGATTGGATGGAGATGGACTGGTCATGGGGAGGAGAGCTGGGATGAGGGCAATCCTTTCTGTATCTTTGGGATGTGAATTCTAGAGCTAGCCTGACCTTACTGCAGGCAATATCTTTTTTAGTAAAAGAACCTTTGACTTCAACCCAATGGAGTCGAAGGTCTTTCTTTCCTAAGGGAACAGATTGGGCCAGGTCTGACAACTGCTTTTGAGCCACAGTCAAGGTCAAGGTTTTAAAAAGGAATGAGCAGTCAAATGAACGTTTTGCCCCCAAAGCTCTCTAGTTTTTAAAAACTTTTGGGGCAAAACGTTCATTTGACTGCTCATTCTTTGTTTTGCCTGTATCCTACGCCATTGAACTTTTTCAAATTATTTTTAGCAGAATTACAATATGTGGGAACCTGTATGGGGAGGGGATTGCCCTTGGCATTAAACTTAGCAAACTGTTTTCTGTTAAAAATAATCAATCTAGACAGTGATTAATCCTTTCAAAACACTTGGGGGGAAATGGACCTCTGCCCTCCCCTTTAAAAAAAGCCCAGTCAAAATACCATCATCCACGCGCCAGGCTGAAGTTAATAGGTTCTGAAGGGCTCCAAGATTTTCATTATATTAAAATACTTTCAGAAATTTTTACAAAAAGGGAAAGCTATGAAAGCAAAAGTGGAGAGACTCAGAGAAATTCTGTGCCTTACACAGACATAAAATTTGGAGAAAAACTGAAAATTGGAAAGGCAAATTTGTAAAGGACTAACTAGAGGAAGCAGGATTGGCTCGATAGAATATAAACAAAAACGATCCACGAGGTATTTTATTCCAACAGCTGAAGTCTCTCTGGAGCTCAACCAACCTGCATCTTGTGCACACCAGTCTCTCTTCCCAAAAATGCTCTGCAGGCAGCTATTAGAGCAACCAGGCCTGCCCTGTGACCTAAAATTCTTTTATCTTTCTAAAAAAATCTCACCGATCCCCCTTGATCTCTTTGGAAAACTGTTTATAAAGAACAGTGGAAAGCTTCTTTTTCAGGGTAGAACATACAGACCTTAAAAGAAATAACATTTAAATTGAAAACCTCCACAGACAGGGCTGTTCACTGACACGGGCAGGGAGAAACAGGGACGCAGCAGTCACCAGAGAGGGAATCTGGGCATGTAAGAGAGGCAGATTCAGGAGCTCCGTCTCAAAGCAAGCCCACCTGGACAGGGCTGCCCATCGGCCAAGCCCACCTGGACGCCTCTCGGGTCTCCGTCACTCGCCTTCCAGATGCAACCGGCCTCCTAGTAGCAGGGTTATCGCCTTCGGAGGGGTGCCCCCTCCAGCCACGATCCCTCTGACACCCAGATCTCCCCGTCCTCTTCCTGTCCTCCAGACAGTGGAGGGATGATCCTCCCCAGCAGCCACGGGGGAACGTGGGAACGGCGGTGCCCAACCTTCCGGGAAACACCAGGAGCCCCCACGCTGGGAGCCGGGCTGCACCAAGAGGAGGGGCTGCGGGGCAGGAGGGGGGTTCGGGGGAAGGATTTGAAGGGGGGCGAAGACGCAGAAGCAGCAACCGAGGAGAAGCGGCAGCTCAGAGGTTCCCACTGAGCAGAAAATCTCGCAAGGAGAGGCGGAGACTCGGAAGGGGAGGGGGCGCAACTGGGGGAAACCCACCTCGCTCTCCCTCCCTCCCTCCCCCGAGGAATCCCTCCTCCCCTTCCCGCCCCTGGGGATTCCCCCTGATTCCCCCCCCCCCGCTCGCAGCGTCCTTGCCCACCTGGCGCCCCTTGAGCGCCCCTCCCCGCGAAGGGAATCTCCGGCAGCCCTTGCTGAAGAGACGTCGAGCGATCACGATGGGGGCCGAGAGGGCTCGGAAATTGGTCTCCCCCCCCCCCGGTTTCCTGCGTCCTCTCTAGGCGCCAGAGAAAAGCTCTCTGCGTTTAACCCCTTCGCGGAAGCTGCTGCGAGGAGCGGGCGACTGGGGCGCCGCCGAGCAAAGCCAAACTCCACCAGCCGGGGCCCCGCAAAAGACCGTCACCCCCAGGGGAAAGTCAAAGGACTCTCCCAGACTCACATGGCTCCCCTCCCCAATATATGGAGAATCCCTTGTTCTGAGTAGGAGGATCCGTTACCTGCCTGCCTTCTCCTGTTTTAAGGGTCTTCATCTCTAAAATGAAGCTGTAGCCAAAGAACAACTTCATTCCCCCTTACATGTTCTCCAAGGATAAAATAAAGTTAGGTACAAGAGCCATCGGATGCCACAAAAATGCTTTAATCACAATGCCAGCCTAATTGAGGGAATTTCATGCAACCTCCTTTCCTAACTGCTATCAGCATTTGCAGTCATTTTCAGATGTTTCAAATGGTCAGGGATCTTGAAAATCATAGGGAGGCCATAAGGTATATTGTTTCCTTCCTGTTTGATCGGCATAGTTAACTGTTTAATGCTGAGTGAGGTTTCAAGCAGCTGTTACTTATTTTTATCTCTGTATCTGTTGGCACCTCTGTTTGGTTGCTAATTGACTCGACTGAAGCACCCTACTGTTTGTAGTCTCACAAAAACAAGCTTTGGGAGAAGCACCCTGCCCTTAGGATTTCTGTTGACAGCTTGCTGGTTGTTTTGCAATTCCTACTGCTGCAAAATATGGTTTTAAAGGAAAAGTAAGAGAAAAAAGTGAAATGACTCCTTTACAAACCCCCCCCCAAAAGGTCCATTAAAAGGAGCTTTGCGCTTCTTTATTCACAAGAAAGGAACCCATTCTCAATCAGGCACTTTCCAAAAGAAATGGCATGATAAATTAAACCCTCTCTGTATTTTACAGCATTCATGATCCCATCAGTATCGGTAACACCACTAGCGGAAATGCAGTCCCAAGCCAGGATAGACCACCATGTTCCCCTGAAGGCTACAAACATTCATTTGTCTATCTCCCTCCAAATCTTCTCACATATTGTTGACAACTGGATCCAAAAATTTCAAACTTAGATTCATCATAGCATAATACTGATACTTAGTCCATTTTTTGTAAGCTTCGGTATATCTTAACATTTTCACCCTGTTCCCCTTCTGCAAGTGTGGGTGTCTTGGCTACTACCTATCCATTAACACCATTCCTGACTGAACTTCTTCAGACTATAGAAAGATCAACTTGGCCTTCGGATGAAGCTGCCAGATGCTGAGCCAGGTCCTTGGTGGATTTCCTCTGATCTCTCAAAGGAACATCTCATCAGAATTTGAAAATGTCCTTGGTCTTCCAGTCCCCTTTTTTGTCCCTGACTTTTCCTGATTCCTCAAATTTCCTTATAACAGCTTGAACATCTATGCAGATTCTCAATCATCCAAGTCATGGTTGTCCCAAGGTGTTTTTCAAAGGGTAACTGGACTTTCTTGATTTTTTCCTTAAAGAAGTTTTGAAAAAGCTGTAGAATCTTCTTGGATCAGAAGTGATATATTTGCAAGGAAAAAAATGAAGAAAGTCCAGTTGCATTTTGAAAAACATCTTTGGAACAACAGCTTGAATACCACATCTTGAATATCCAGTTTGTTCATACATGGCTTAGATCAGGGGTGTCCTCCGGGCTGGATGTGTCATCCGGAAGCTGTGCCAACCCCATTGCCAGCAATGGCAAAACCGTCCCGATATGCGCGATGTCATGTGACATTGCAAGTTTGACATGTCTGATTTAGATAAAGAGATTGAAGGGGAACTCATCAAATTTGCAGATGACACCCAGTTGAGGGGAATAGCCAACACTTTTGAAGATAAGCACAAGATTCAGAAAGATCTTGACACATGTGAGCATACGGCCCTTTCCAGCAAAATGCAATTCAGTGGTGAGAAAAATAAGGTCTTACACTTAGGCAAGAAAAGCTAAATGCACATCTATAGAAGTTGTTGTACCTTGTTCAACAGTACCTTGTGAGAGGGATCTCAAAACACTTACATATGAGATAGCAGTGTGGTGTAACTGCCTAAAAAGTCAATTCAGCATTAGAATGATCAAAAACAGTTCCAACCTAGAATCAAGGAGAAAGTTCCTGTCTGTGAGAAAAGTGGAATGGCTTGCCTCTAGAAGTTGTGGATGCTCCATCAATGGAGGTGTTGAATAGGAGATTCCACAGCCATTTTTCCAGCTGGGAATAGGGTCTCATGCTTGGAGACTTAGTCCCTTTCAAATCTTATTCTGTAATTCTGTAAGAACTTCATGAGCTTTTAGGGCTCAGCATGCAGCTAATCTTCACAAGCTAAGTAGCGTCACATTTCACTATTTCACTTGGCTCAGTTGCAAAGAGAGGTTGCTGTGAGTGTGGAAATGACTTGATTGCATGTGATCAGTGAAAACATCTCACAAATGCCTTTGGTGGAAATGGGACAAGCCTATTTTTCGGCCTCCTACTGAGAGATGGTGGTCAGATAGGCAGCATCATCTGTGACTAGATTACAGGGGTTCTCAACCTTGGCAACTTTAAGACATGTGGACTTCAACTCCCAGAATTCCTCAGCCAGCTGGCTGAGGAATTCTGGGAATTGAAGTCCACAAGTCTTAAAGTCGCCAAGGTTGAGAACCCCTGGACTAGAAAGCCAACAGTAGACTAGCCCCCTCGCTGGTTGAACGTAAAGGAGTTAAAACCATCAAGTACTGTATTGCTAGAAAGGCTAGGAGGAGAGGAGACGTACAGGGGAACTTCCTCTACCTACCGTATCGCTCATGGGAGGAGGGTTGCGTGCAGAGACGCTCTCGCTTTCTTGCAAAGGTGGAAGCATCAGCAGGAAGGTGAGTTGAGGCCAGGTTGGAGGAGAGTTCGGGAGTAAGTCGGGCTGTTTGGTTCCCTCCACAATGTGGAAGCAGAGAAGCAACTAGACCAGCGGTAGGCAACCTTGGCTCTTTTATGACTCGTGGAACTTCAAGTCCCAGAATTCCAGAGCCAGCATGGCTGGCTCAGGAATTCTGGGAGTTGAAGTCCACGAGCCATAAAAGAGCCAAGTTTGCCTATCCCTGAACTAAACTATAAAATAACAGTTGGAGGTCATGTAGTCCAATTCCCTGCTCGAGCAGGAGACCTTCTACATTTCAGGCAAATGGCTGTCCACTCTCTTCTTAAAAACCTCCAGTGGTGGAGCACCCATTTGGAGGCAAAACCCATTTTCCCCTCCACTGGTAATTGTTCTCCCTGTCAGGAAATTTCTCCTTGCTTCTAGGTTGTTTCTCTCTTTGATTAGTTTCCACCTGTTGCTTCTTGTCTCGCCTTCTGGTGCTTAGGAAAATAGGCTGACCCCCCCCCCCAGCCTTCTTCATTGTGGCAGCCCCTTAAATATTATAACAGGGCTATTATATCATCCGTACTTCTTTTTTATACTAGACTAGACCAGGGGTAGGCAACCTTGGCTTTTTTATGACTCGTGGACTTCAACTCCCAGAATTCCTGAGCCAGCTGGCTCAGGAATTCTGGGAGTTGAAGTCCACGAGTCATAAAAGAGCCAAGGTTGCCTACCCCTGGACTAGACATACCCAATTCCTGCAACTGGTCTTTGTGTTTTAATCTCAAGCTCCCAAATATATTTGTTGCTCTTTCATTTAATCTCTGTTAATAAATATTAATTCCAGTATAGCTGACTCTCTAATTCCATCCTCTACCTTTTGGATGACAAACTTGTCAGGTTTGTCAGGAACCTTTAAGAACACACTGGGTAACAATTTTTCTGGAATGGTAGGGGGTCTTCCTGGCTGAGCAGGGAACTGGACCAGAAGATTTCTAAGATCCCTTTCAACTCTGTTGTTCTGTTATGGACCTGTTGTTTTACTGGCTGATCTGCCACTGAATCTTATGAGATTTTTTATTTTTTACTTTCACATCTAGCCAACAAGCATGGTACTTCCTATTGGTGTCCCATCCATGTATTAACCAGGTTCAACTAAAAAATAGCTAAGGAGGACCTTTTCAGGTGTTCAGGTTGTATAGGTCAGTGGTGGCGAGCCTATGGCACGGATGCCAGAGGCGGCACTCAGAGCCCTCTCTGTGGGCACGCACGCCGTTGCCCCAGTCCTAGGCCTTCAGCTGGGTTTTATAAAACTTTTTCGCTTTAGGACTCTGCCGCCATGTACAAAAAAAAAAAAAGGTTCAATCAGTCAATTTCAACTTCTCGCAGGGGAAAAAAAAGATCTTGCAAAGTTGGAATTGATTGATTGAACTTTTTAGTCCCACCCAATCTGCCGTTACCATTGCAGCCATGCCCACTCAGTGGGCCACACCCACCCAGCACTCGACGATGCATAAGTGGGTTTTGGGTTGCAGTTTGGGCACTCAGTCTCTAAAAGGTTTGCTATCACTGGTATAGGTAGTCCTCAGTTACCATTTGTTCCCTGAGTCTTCGAAGTTACAATGGCACTGTGAAAGCAGACATACACCTGGTCCACAAATTTGTAGCACTTATTCAGTGACTACACGTCAGCACTTCCTGTAGTTATGAAGGTACAGGAAAAGGAGTTGCATCAATTCAGGGTCTACCAATAGATGCACATTTATGAGGGTTGCAGCATGCACACTCATGATCCCTATTTGTGAACTTCCCAGCTACCGTGTTTCCCTGAAAATAAGACCAGGTCTTTTTTGGGGGGGGGGGGCCTCCAAAAGAAGCACCTAGTCTTATTTTCAGAGGGTTGTCTTTTTTACTCATCTCTGGCATCAGCAGCCTTGCCCAGCCAGCCTACTTTTTCTGTGGCCGAAGGAGTAGTTTCATTCTGCAGCTGAGAATGGAGCTTCGACCTGCATTTTGCAGTCAGGCCTTTCCAGAAGCCATTGCAGCCAAGAACTGAGCTATGGATTGAACCCATAGCTCGGTTCTCAGCTGCAGATGCGTTGCAGAACCGATTGATGGATGGAATCCATAGCTCAGTTCTCAGCTATAGTGGCCTTCCGGAAAGGCCTCTGACTGCGAAGTGCAGGCCTGGGGACGCCGCAGAAGAAGTAGGCTGGCGAGGAGAGGCCTAGTTGGAAGTTAAGTGGCTGCGGGGCACGTGGGGCAGCTCCACTCCCCTACCCCCACCCTTGCTCATTTTAGGTATTGTGCCTTGCCCCAAACTAAGGCTTATTTTGGGGGTAGGGTTTATATTAGGCCCACCCTCAAAAATCAAGCTAGAGCAGAGGTGTCAATTTCATTGAGGGCCGCATCAGCATTGCAGTTGCCCTCGGCGGGTGTGTGGCCAGGGTGGGTGCAGCCTACTGGATGGGTGTGCATGGAGTGGGTGTGGCCTACTGGGTGGGCATGGCCAGCTCTACATCGTTTACGTCAAGGTTGCCTGTGGAGGCCTGGGCAGGAATGGGACAGATCTCAGGGTCTCTGGCAGAAGGGGGTGGGAGTGGGGCAAGCGCCAAGGCATGGTCCATTTCTTCATTCCTCACAGGGTGACACCTCCCCAGCATGCACCCAGGGGGTGGGGCCGATGCAACGGGCTGGTTCCTCGCTGTTTCCAGAGGGCCTTGTGGAGCTAAGACTGAATGCGTTTCAGCATAGATGGGCACCACCAAATTGTACATTGGCTCTTGGCTGGCTTGGGCCAGGGCCAAGGCAGCGGGAACCATTCCCTCACTGTTTCCAGGATGGCTTCGTGGGCCACATGAAACCATTTTGCGGGCCACATCCGGCCCCCGGGCCTTACGTTTGACATGTCTGAGCTAGAGCTTATTTTTGGGGTAGGTCTTACTTTGGGGAAAACATGGTAGCTTCTGAAAAACAAAATCAGTGGGGATGCCAGTAGGAAGTTGCAAGTCAAGGTCATGTGAAATTGCCTTTCACAAATTATAGTGACTTGCTTAACAATTGCAGAGTTACAGATGTTCAGAACAAAGTTCTTCCTTACATTTCCAACATTCATTTGAGATGCCTTTATACATTCTGGACCATTTGTCCAGTTTTAGATACCAACAGTACATTTATAAAAGTTTTCTTTTAAATTATAGTTTAATGTGAATTTTAGATCTCTGGTCCACCTGTTCTCCCATTGTTCAAGCATTATGTTACATCCAAAGTTCTTTGCCCACTGACCCATACAATGCTTTACATACGCATTCTCCAAGTACTATTTTAATTACAGTTTATGAAACTTTGCAATAATATGTTCAACACTATCACACAATAGAATTTCCAACTCGTTTTTCACAAAATAAAATCCATAGCTCTTTTTGTCTAGTTTAAATCTTTCTTTCAACTGTAAATACATAAACCAAGGGCAAACACATCCTTCTGATTCCAACTTCTCTTTAGATTTCAGGATAAGGTTACCATAATTGAAAGATATTATTTGACTGTAAGTCCACCCGTCTAGCCTCATCACCATTTCTTTTCTTAAAAAGAGTTCCTGGGGAGATAGCCAAAGAGGCATCTTCCTAGAGAACCTTATTTTATATTTCTTTCAAATTCTGAGGACGGCACATCAAACAAAGTGATTATTATAATCAACATTTGCTTTAACCTGATCATACCATAAATAGCTGTGCCATCAAAATCTTAATTCATGGGCCTCTAGTGTCAAGATTCTGATTGACGAACCCAACCAAGCAAACATCATCGAAACATTCTGATCTCTTAATGTAAAACTTTATTGAGTACATCATTTTGGCATGTATGGAAGCAAAACCAGCTCTGGCAAAACCCCACCCAACCCCACATAGTAAAAGCATGGAATTCTCCCTCCTCCTTGGTCAGGTCACGTTGCCCAATTAAATGGAAAAATATTGTTATGAGAAAGTGTCTCTCGGTCTAATCAGAAACTTGGTGATGCCGTCCTTGATTCTCATGGTCTGGCTTCTTGATCTTTGAAATTTGCATCCCAATCCCTTTTCGTCCCCCCCCCCAAGTTTGTTGGCAAGCTGAGAAACAATAACTGTAGCTTCAGCAAAACCATGCTTCAAAACTCGACATCTAGCTCAAGTAATCTCTTATTTTGGGGAGTCACCCACTCATTTTGCCGAACGAAACAAAAAAACATCAAACTACAATTTCAAATTGGATAGACCCAAACCTCTCCTTAGCATCGTGCAATAATTTATATTTCATTTAGAGATCTCCATCTGCCATTGTATAAATGGAGTGTCAGTTACAAGTTTTGGTAAAGGCTGAAACAGAAAAACCATCTTTAGCAAAACATTTAACTTAATTACTGAAATTCTATCTAATAATTGTAATACTAAGAATTTATTGACCTAAGTCAGGGGTAGGCAACCTCGGCTCTTTTATGACTCATGGATTTCAACTCCCAGAATTCCAGAGTCAGTCTAGCTGACTCAGGAATTCTGGGAGTTGAGGTCCATGAGTCATAAAAGAGCCGAGGTTGCCTACCCCTGACCTAAGTCAACAAGTTTATTTCATGATTGAATGGATATTTGAACTTCGGTCTTGGTAATCTTAAATGTGTCAAATGAATCATAATTATGTAAGAGGCTATTATGGCATGTTTGTTTTTCACTAGTATACTTTTTCATTTCAAGTCTTCTGTAAAAATTGTATAAACAATAAAGGTTACACTGTTATTTGAATCTTATAGATAAAGAGGATGCCAATAAGAGCACTCCAGACAACTGAGAATAACAAGCAACACTGAAAAGGAAAGGAAATCAAAGCAGAATGCAAAATATTTTCCATTTCCTTCACAAAACCGCACAATTCTCCTTCCCCACCAGGTGATAGACAAAAGAGAGAAAATCAAGAAGACATTTCAAACTGGAAAAAGTAGAGTATGCGGAATTCGAGGATACAAACATGAAAAAGTCAACGGAAATTATTTTTCCCTTCAGAAAAATAGGGAAATATCTAGAAGTCAATGGAGAGAAAAAGATCATTTGGGAAGCCACGGCAGGCAGACAGTAATGCTGCCCTTGCTCTGGGAGCCAGACAAGAGTAGCTTCAAGCAAAGAGATCACACATCATTTTGACGTCCTCAAGAATATCAGTGGTGGAAAAGCCCCACCAATGAGCATATTATGGAAAGGTGCAGATTTCAAATCACAGATAATTATGAACAAAATGATCCATATTGGAGAAAAGCCATACAAATACTCTGAATGTATCAAAAGCCCTTCTCCAAAAAGCTCTCTGGTGGTTCATGAAAGGACCCACGAAGGAGAGGAGCCCCACAGGTGCTCCCAATGCAGTAAATGATTTGTGAGCATGGGCACTTGGTGATACATTAGAAGTTTCACACCAGGGAGAAACCCTTTCAATGTTCTGATTGTGTGAAACGTTTCAGCCAGAACTCCAGCCTGGTGATACACCAGAGGATGCAAACAGAAAAGAAATCATATGACTGTCTTGATTGTGGGAAAAGTTTCATTGCAAATTCTCACCTTGTGAGACACCAGAGGATACACACAGGAGAGAAACCCTTTGAATGTCCTGACTGTGGGAAAAGTTTCAGTCAGAAATCTGGCCTGGTGATACACCAGAGGACTCACACAGGAGAGAAACCGTTTGAATGTCCTGGTTGTGGGAAAAGGTTCAGTCACAGTTCCAGTCTGGTAGCACACCAGAGGATTCACACAGGAGAAAAACCATTTGAATGTCCTGACTGTGGGAAAACGTTCAGTCATAACTATGAACAGGTGATACACCACAGAAATCACACAGGAGAGAAACCATATGAGTGTCCGGTTTGTGGGAAAAGTTTCAGTCAGAATTCTAACCTGGTGCAACACCAGAGGACGCACACAGGAGAGAAACCATATGAGTGTTCAGATTGTGAGAAAAGGTTCAGTCACAGATCCAATCTGGTGACACACCAGAGGATTCATATAGGAGCGAAATCTTTTGAATGCCCTGACTGTGGGAAAAGTTTCGTTCAAAATGCTTACCTTGTAAAACACCAGAGGACTCACAGAGGACAGAAATCATATGAGTGTCCAGAGTGTGGGAGAAGTTTCATTAGAAAATTCCAGCTCACAAGTCACCAGAGAATACATACAGGAGAGAAACCTTTTGAATGTCCAGATTGTGGGAAAAGTTTCAGTCACAATTCCAGCCTGGTGAAACACCAACGGATTCACACAGGAGAGAAACGCTTTGAATGTGCTCTTTGTGGGAAAAACTTCAGTCAGAATTCCAGCCTGGTGATACACCAGAGGAGTCACACGGGAGAGAAACCATATGAGTGTCCAGTTTGCGGTAAACGTTTCAGTCACAATTCCAACCTAGTGAAACATCAGAAGACTCACACAGGAGAAAAACCCTTTAAATGTCTTGATTGTGGGAAAAGTTTCAGTCAGAATTATGAACTGGTGATACACCAGAGAAATCACACAGGAGAGAAACCATATGAGTGTCCAGTTTGTGGGAAAAGTTTCAGTTACAATTCCAGTCTAGTGAATCATCAGAGGATTCATACAGGAGAGAAACCATATAAGTGTCCAGAGTGTGGGAAAAGTTTCAATCAGAATTCCAATCTGGTGAAACACCAAAACACACATACAGGAGATAAACCTTTTGAATGTCCTATTTGTGGGAAAAGTTTTAGTCGGTACTGCAATCTGATGAACCACCAGAGGACTCACACAGGAGAGAAACCATATGAGTGTCCAGTTTGTGGGAAAACTTTCAGTCACAATTCCTACCTGGTGAACCACCAGAGGACTCACACAGGAGAGAAATTATATGAGTGTCCAGATTGTGGGAAAGGTTTTATTAGAAAATTTCAGCTCACCAGTCACCAGAGAACTCACACAGGAGAGAAACCGTATGAGTGTCCGGTTTGTGGGAAAAGTTTCAGTCACAATTCCAGCCTGATGAAGCACCAGAAAAATCACACAGATGAGAAACCATATAAGTGTCCAGATTGTGACAAAAGTTTCATTATAAAATTGCAGCTCAGGAGTCACCAGAGGACACACACAGGAGAGAAAGCCTTTGAATGTCCTGATTGTGGGAAAAGTTTCAGTCAGAATTCACACTTGGTGATACACCAGAGGACTCACACAGGAGAGAAACCGTATGAGTGTCTTATTTGTGGCAAATTTTTCATTAGAAATTCCCACCTCTTGAGACACCAGAGGACTCACACAGGAAAAAAAGCCTTTGAATGTCCTGTTTGTGGGAAATGTTTCAGTCAGAATTCAAACCTGGTGAAACACCAGAGGACTCACATGGGGGAGAGCTTTCAAATGTCCAATCTATGGGTGGTACTTCAGGTGTAAATCTCCCCTTATTGAACGCAAGAAAATAGACACAAGGCAAAATTTGACAAATTTAGAACACTTGAATTTCATTTCTCATCTCTAATTGAGTGTGTAGGTGAGAAATTGACTATTTGAATTCTGGCCTGATGCTTTTAAGTTAACACATCTCAGGTTTAGACCAGTAGGTGGAGAGAAAAACGTGGAAATTGTTAGTTTGATAAAGGCTATCCATTTCTTCTTATAGGCAGAAGTTTCTGGATATTTCCTTTTGCAGAAGTTGTGGAATTCCTCAAAAAGGCTTTTGGGTGGTGTTTTTTTTATATTGATCATGGAATTCCAACATATGGACTTTCAGGCTTCTATCTTGGTGTCCTCCAGATTTTGAGGGCCATAATTCCCCAGCCACCATACAAATAGTTTTTGAGATACAACTGTAATGGGGCCTGCCAATTTGGTTGCATGTTGCAATGATGGCTAAGCGAGATTTCCTTGCTGAACTACCCCTGCCTGTTTCTCTCCCTGATGAAGCTGTTAAACAAATGTGTAAGTCCTCCATACCTTTCGAACCTCAGGTTGGTGAAGAAGAGCAGGACATGTGTAATTAGGCTGCGTGACTACGTCGTGAAAGCAGCTGTTATTTTCACTGTGCCTGGGCCATGTGGTGGACTTGTGGAAGCAGCTGCCATTTTGCAATGACTGCCTCTGGGTCAAAATGGTGGCTGCCTCTTGGTCACTGTTGCCTAGGAGTCGAGTCAGACTGTTCTGTTTTGCTACCTTAACATTTTGTACACTGTGTTAAGGGATTGTGAGTGCCTTAAAAATGGTGGCTGCCTCTGGGAGATCTCCAGAAGAGCAGGCCATGTATCCCTGGGGCACACGATAAGTGGACAAGTACCATTTGCACCGTTATTGTGCTGCAGCTACCAAAAAAAGCCAATGCAGTCCTAGGTTGCATCAACAGAGGAATAGTGTCAAGACAAGAAGAAATACAATTGGTTTATACAGTGCTGGTAACATCACACTTAGAATACTGTGTCCAGTTCTGATCATCACAATACGAAATAGTTGTTGAGACCCTGGAAAGTATGCAGAGAAGAGCAGTAAAGATGATAAAGGTCTGGACGCTATATCATATGATCAGTTGTGGGAGCTAGGTATATCTAGGCTATCAAAGGGAATCATTAGGAGGGACATGATAGCTGTCTTCCAGTACTTGAGGCGCTGTCACCAAGAAGAGGTGATTGACTTACTCTCTAGGTCACCTAAGGGCAGGATAAGTAGTAATGAATTGAACTTTAGGACAAGTAATGGATGGAGGTTTATTAAAATGAGATACAGAATACCGTGTTTTCCCCAGAATAAGACCGGGGGGTTTTTTGTCTCCAAAAGAGGCACCAGGTCTTATTTTCGGAGGATGTCTTTTATACAAGCCCGCCAGCCGGTCCACTTTTTCTACATTCCAGCCTATATTTCGCAGTCAGGCCTTTCCGGAAGGCCACTGCAGCTTAGAATTGAGCTATGGATTCAATCCATAACTGAGTTCTAGGCTGCAAATGCCTTGCAGAACTAAGCTATGGATTGACTGAATAGCTGGATTCTCAGCTACAAAGGCCTTCCAGAAAGGCCTCTGACTGCAAAATGCAGGCCTGGGAATGCCACAAAAATGGGCTAGTGAGGCCTGGCTGCAAGTGGGTGCAGGGTGCGTGGGGCAGCTCTATACCTCCACCCCTGATTTTCAGCTATGTGCCTTGCCCTAAAGCTAGGGCTTATTTTCAGGGTAGGTCTTACTTTCGGGGAAACACGGTAGAAGTAAGGAGAAATTTTCTGTCAGTGAGGGGCAATTAATAGAATAGCTTGCCTCCAGGGATTGTGGCTGCTCCATTACTGGCGATTTTCAAGAACAAGCTGGACAAACAGTATAAGGTTCCTGCCTTGAGCAGCGGGTTAGACTAGAAGACCTCCAGGGTTCCTTCCAAGCCTATAATGCTATTTTTCCATGGATTTAGAGATAGTTTAGAAAACAGGTACAGAGCAGCCCAATGAACTTGCTCCTCATAAGTTTTTTTAAACTATTTTATTCAGAAAATTAATATAAAGTATAAAATCCTCCCCAAAAGGAAATTTTTAAAAAACAAAACAAAGACAGACAAAATATTTTAAAAGAATGAAAAAATGTTCATTAAAAAAGACAAAAATAGATTTACATATATTATCCCCCCCCATTTGAGCATTCATAAATATATTGTCGCAATATTAGTTGCCTCCCCTTGCGAAGCAGGCCCCAAATTTACAAAGTTCTACCTCTATTTACAACCAATCTGACCTTCCTCTCTCTACTATATAGAGAGGCAAAGTAGTCAACGGGTGAACCAGCAATTAAAACATCAACGCATTTAGTTAACAATCTGTACTGCATTTAACTTGTATAAAGTCTAAAGTCTAGAACGGCTTCTTATTTACCCCGAGTCACCCGAATCATTGTCTCTGATCTGTCTAGGATGAAATATCTTTGTTTGATTGCTATTAATAAAACTTTTTCATAAGATTTTGATTGAGAACAATAAGAAAATAATTGTGTCTTATTCCCCAAAATCATAATCCTCTTGGTCGATCCTTTCTCCCAAAAGAGTCTAGTCCAGCGGTTCTCAACCTGTGGGTCGCGACCCCATTTGGGTCGAACGACCATTTCACGGGGGTTGCCAAAGTCCTGGAGTTTTTCCTCATAGAATCCTTATGAAACACAGTCCAGCATTTTTTTGTTTTGTTTTGTTTTGTTTTCTCCTTTTTCCTTAGCTGTGCTACTCCCTCTTATTCTATTGGCTTTCGAACGCCAATAGAATAGACTCTCTTGAATAGAGTCGAATTCTATTGGCTTTCAAAAGCCAATAGGAATTGTCCAGGCTGTCTCTACCCTGCTGAGCCCGCCAAAAGTCCCAGTCAGCAAACGTTGCTGCAAGTTGTCTGCAGCTAAGGCGAGCTTTGTGGAAGTTTCCACCCTTCCCTGCTGAGCAACTAAATGTAAGTAAAAGAGAGCCAGGGGTGGGAGGGCTGCCCAGGAGCACCTGGGCCTGCCTGCCTGCTGCCGCACCGAAGGGGTGATGGGCATGGTGAGGCTAGCGGGGCAGCGGCGGGCGCTGGGAGGATAGCTGGCGCGCGTAGGGCCTGGCGGGTGGCTTACCTCCCTTGGGCTGGGCCAGCTGGTGGCCCAGCTGGTGGTCAGCCTGTGCCATCGCTGCCGCTTGCCATGGCTGCCCAGGAGCGCCTGGGCCTGCCTGCCGCCGCAATGAACGGGCGGTGGCCAAAGTAAGGCTAGCGGGGCAGCAGCAGGCACTGGGAGGATAGCTCGCGCGTGTGGAGCCGACTCAGTGTGTAGCGGCCTCACCGGTTCCCCACCGACGTCCGGGCGCTTGAAACGCACCCCCAACGCCGCCCCAGGCCGGCTCAACTGCGTGGGCGGCTGGTCTGAGCCAAGCCCTCCGCATAATGAAATCACAGGCAGTGGCACCTTGCCAGCTATGCCTCGGCCGGCGCAGGGGGCGGCACCATGCATGCGCGGCACTCCCGGGCCAAGGCGGTTGCTGGGCGATGGCCTGCGTGCGCCCTTGGCCTGCCCATCGTGCGCTCCAGCCGCAGGAGAGGAGGCAGAGTGTGCGCGCCAGAGAGAGGAAAAGAAAAAGTGAGTGAGTGAGAGAGAATGAGCGAGCAAACCCCGCCCCTCCTCCTGCCCCCGCCCACAGGGAAATACAGGTAGTCCTCGACTTACGACCACATGGTTGGGGGTCACGGCATTAGGAAGGTTGAGAACTACTGGTCTAGTCCAAATGGTTTTTCAGTTAGATATAGGAAGTCCCTTCCCCAATTACCACTAACTTCATCACATCAACGTCCAGTTCATCATACATCAAATGTTAGCTCCAATTCTGTAGAATCCCTATGGTGAGGGGTCTTTTAAGCTGTGGCTGTGCTCCCCATGGCAGCTTTTGAGAATTGCTGAATTCACTAAGCCATCCATTGGGGAGTGAGTCATCCATTTGTGTGCGGTCACAATCCCAAACGCCTCCATCAGTCCCAGAGAAAGGGGACCTTCCAGATCAGAAATGTTTTTCCCCACCATGATCCTTCACATCTTTCTGGGTAACCCACCAGCTGGGTATGACAACAATTATTTCCTCCCTGTGATGCTTCCAGCAAATGACATCCAGATGGCAGATGGCTTTTTTTCTGGGTGTAATATAGTCCTCCCTTATCATTTGCCTCATTTAGTAACCATTCAAGATTAGGATAGTATTAAAAAAAACAGCTTTGCAAACAATCCTTGCACATTAAAACCATCAAATTGTCCCACGATTGTGTGATGTCCATTAGCATGCCTCCCAACCAGCTGAAGGCAAGCAAAGTTCATGGAGAAAACAGAAATAAAACCACCAGTGGCGTTCAGCTGAGGTCTCAATGTCCACAGTGATTCCTGTAATGACCAGAGGTCAAAAGCCTGTTTGCAATCAGGTGATTTTTTTTCACTTAGTAGCCGTGAATCCTAGCAACAGAATTGCCAGTCAAAATTGTGGTCACTAAGGGAGGATTACCCTCCTTCGTTCATCCCCACCCTTCAGGCTTGTTCTTCCTGCAGTTGATGGGGAGGCGACCAATGTGCAGTGGGGGGGGGGTCTCTCTGGATGGCTCTCCTGTTAGAGAGCTGGGGTGCTGCAGGGGTGAAGGTTCCGTTGCTGGGCTAGGAGTGGGGACACCCGAATTCCAGCCTCTCCTCAGCCATGAAAGGTCCCTCGGTGTCAGCCCCACTTGATAGGACCAAGAGGAACAGATATAAGTTGGCACTGTCATGTGACCCCATGCTTAATGACCGGCTGCTTAGTGACACAGATGCCAGTCCTGTGCCCAGAGGCCTCCAGGGCAGAGAGTAAAGAAAATAGCCTTAGGGCAGAGGTCCCCAACATTTTGCGCACCAGAGACCAGTTCTGAGGAGAAAGGTTTGTCCATGCACCAGAGTGTGTTTGGTTTTGTGTGCTGCTTGCATCCCACAGATGGGTCGTTGCTTGTTTGTGCACAGGAAGACTCTTAACACTTTTTTTAAAAACAAATTAGACATTGGGGATGGGGGGACAGGTGGCAGGCCCCGTCGCGAGGCAAGGTGAGGCAGGTGGCGGGGTGGGGGTGGCCTGGCTGTGGGGTGCGTGATGCAGCTCCAGGACTGGGCTCGGGCGGAGCAGGGAGGGGAGCCCTGACTGCCTGTCGGGTATGGGGGCTCCCGGCCCTTTCCATTCGCAGGGGTCATTGGGGGTGGGGAAATAGGTGGCAGGCTCACTGGAGGACAAGATTGGACAGTGAGGGCTGAGCCCCAGACATCATCATCATCAAGTTTTCTATCTTATCTAGTAGGTTGTGATCTACTTTGTCAAGTAGATGTCTGCTCTTAACACTTTTTTTCTACTGAGACTGAATGTAATAAGAGAATCTTGCAAGTCTGATTATGTTGTGCCTCCCCCACATAGAAACTTATGCTCCTGTGAATGAGGGAGGTGTTTGTTTGAGCCTGTTTGTAACATTATCTCTCTCTGTTGTGGACTTGAGGTAGGTTGCTTATCCCCTAAAGCAGGGGTCCCCAACCCCCGGTCCGTGGACCAGTACCGGGCTGTGGCATGCCAGCAGCCGGTCCGCACAAACAAGCAAAGACCCATCTGTGGGATGCAGGCAGCACACAAAACCAAACACACTTTGGTGCGTGGAAAAACCTTTCTCCACAGAACCGATCTCTTTTGCCCAAAGGTTTGAGGACTTCTGCCCTAAGGCTATTTTCTTTACTCTCTGCCCTGGAGGCCTCTGGGCACAGGACTGGCATCTGTGTCACTAAGCAGCCAGTCATTAAGCATGGGGTCACATGACAGTGCCAACTTATATCAGTTCCTCTGCAGTTGTTAAGCAAAACATGACCGTGACTTGCAAATTCCTGCTGGCCTTCCCCACTTATTTTTCTTGTCAGAAGCTAGTGGGAAAGTCATCAATGGGGACTGTGAGCGTGGGATGCTGGAACCATTATAAATGTGCACCCGTTTGTTCCATTTTATGACCTTTCTTGCCACAGTTGTGAAGTGAATCGCTGCAGGGTTCCGTTAGTAACGGGGTTGGGTTTTTTTGTATTAAATTTTTTTATTATTCAAAATATAAAATACAAAAAAAAATGTGGGGAAACTAAGGGAAGGAAAAGGGGAAGAAGAAAAACGGGTAGAGGGCGGGAAAAACATTGACTTCCAACTCTTTTTAGCGGAGTAGAATATAATGAGGTTACAACTTCAACTTTACTTTTACACAGTTGTTTATACTAGTCATTTCTTAACTAGGCTGCCTAATCAGCGAAAGCAAAATTTCATTTTCGAGAAGTGATTTCCAAATAAAAACAAAATTATATATATTCTCTTTTTCAGATAAAGCAATTAATCTAACTGTCTCTACTTTTTTTCTTTCCTGTGGGAAACACTATATATTACTGTTTACACTTATTAATCTTTGTATATTATCACCATTTCTATTAACAAAATTCTCTATTCTTTCAGATTCTTTACTCTTAAAAGAAAAAAATAACTTCTTTTACATCCACTTTAAAACACTAAACTTTTCTTTAAAAACATTTCTAAAATCAGTAAGTTCTAATACATCTTTTTTTCCACTTCCTTTCAATATACATACTTTGAAGTTCACTTTCAGTTGTATTTTATAAGCAGGGGTCCCCAACCTGTCGGCTGCGACTGGGCCGTGGTCCTTAAATCGCCACTGGACCACGTGAATGACCGGCCGGTGTGCGCACACAGCCCCACTTGCGTAAACCTTGTGTCCATCCGTAACCTCACTTACATGAGTCTCATTGTGGGCTCTCATGACCCCATATGCACCTGTCCCCCCTACTCTGGGCTGCCAACCGGGAACGGTTGGGGAACTGTGCCGTAAAGACTTGCAAATTTACTTGGAACTCTTACATTCAATTGCGTTGAGAGGTTTAAACAGTCATCTTCATGCCTAGTGGATGGTCACTTAAATATGAGCTAGCAGTGTGCAACAGCAGCCAAAAAAGCTAATCCTTGGTTGCATAAACAGAGGGATAGCGTTGTATCAGATGAAGTATTAGTACCACTACAGTAGGGCCAAAGTTGTGGAAATCTTTTGGGAAAAATGTACAGTAGAAATGCCACCTTTGGTTAAGTTTCCATCAATTTTTCTTCTAATTGCTTTATAACTGTAACCTTGCTCACTTAATAATACTATTTTATATTCCTTTCTGGGCAACCAGTCAACTCTTTGCACCACTACTTTAATTTTATTACGTTTTACAAGCTCACTAAATGAAAGAACACACCCACAAAAAAAACCAACCAGCTTGATAGCGATCACATAACACACCTCCTCTCAGCTTCAATAGGTGACATCAATAACTGAATCCTACTGTGATCTGATTGGCTCATTGCCAAAACAAGATGACACCTGATTGGCTCTCTAAACACTCGTGCTCATTGGCTACAATCAGATGAAGGAAAGCTACCTGATATCAACCTAAGCAAATTGTGTTTCTTTTTTTCTGGTTATTTGGCTATACCTTTTCATAAAATACAGATAATTGAAAAAACTATGTTGCTTTACATTCTTGATTAAATTATCTTTCCATTGATATATAATTTTATGGTACTACTACAAAAAAAGTGGTGTTATTAGCCATCAAACCTCAAAAATACACTTTTCCCAAAAGGTTTCTACAATTTTGGCCACTAGTACATATCAAAACTTAATAAGACCACATCTGGAATACTGCATCCAGTTTTGGTCACCACATTATAACAAAGATGATGAGACTTTGGAAAGAGTACAGAGAAGAACAACTAACACGAGTAAGGGCCTGACGACTAAAGCATATGAAGAACAATTGGAGGATTTGGGTATGTCTAATCTAGAGAAAAGGAGAACTAGGAGTGACATGATAGCCGTGATCCAATATATGAGGGGCTGCCACAAAGAAGAGGGCGGTCAACCTATTTTCCAAAGCACCTGAAAGTGAGACAAAAAACAATGGATGGAAACCAATCAAGGAGAGAAGCAACCCAGAACTAAGGAGAAACTTCCTAACAGTGAGAACAATTAGCAAGTGAAACAGCTTATCTTCAAAAATTGTTGGTGCTTCATCACTGAAGGCTTTTAAGAAGAGACTGGACAGCCACTTTTCTGAAATGGTATAGGGCAGTGGTTCTCAACCTTTCTAATGCCGCAACCCCATAATGCAGTTCCCCATGTTGTGGTGACCCCCAACCACTTATACATCACTGGGTATCAGGGGCATGGCCAAAGAAAAGGGGGGAAAATGGCTGACAGCCTTGTTTGGCGACCCCCGTGAAATGGTCGTTCGACCCCAAATGGGGTCCCGACCCTACAGGTTGAGAACCACTGGTATAGGGTCTCCTGCTTGAGAAAATAGGTCGACCCCTTCTTCTTTGTGGCAGCCCTTCAAATATTGAACACTGTTATCATGTCACCCCTGGTCCATACCCAATTCCTGCATTCATCAGATATTATAGCCTATGGCCCTCTAATTGTTCTTGTTGCTCTTTTCTGCACTCAGTATATGGTGGTGACCAAACATAGATGCAGTATTGGGAGTATGGTCTTATAAAGGTTTCATAAAGCGGTTATAACACTTCACATTAATCTTGATTCTATTGGTTAATGCAGCCTAGGATTGTATTGGCTTTTTTGGCAACTGCAGCACACTACTGGCTTACATCAATCAATCAATCAGAACAGAGTGGGAAGGAATCTTGGAGCTCTTCTAGTTCAATCCCCTGCTCAAGCAGGAGACCCTATACCAGTGGTGGCGAACCTATGGCACGCGTGCCAGAGGCGGCACTCAGAGCCCTCTCTGTGGGCACATGCACCATGCCCCGGAGATGGCAACTGTCCCTCTTCAACCAGCCGCCCGCTAACTCACCAAGAACCCATGTGGCCAGATGCATCCCAGCATGGCTGATTTCCTTCTCTCCCGTCCCATCCCTCCTGGCCTCACATGCTCTCCTTTTCCCAGACACGACCCACTGCATTGCCTCAGCTGTCGGCCGGCCGGCCAGCTCAGAGGAGACTTCTCTGAACTGCTGGCAGTAAGCTGCTGAGTCCCAGAGTGTGCTGGTCGAGGGGCCGGCAGGCTGTGGCTGCTGATGGACACTGTCAGTTCCCATGCGCTTGCTGGCCTCTGTGTGTAGCAGCCGCCCTGGTCCCTGCCTCGCCTTGCCCTGCCACAATGGCACCTCCGCCCTGCCTCGTCTCACCCAGCAGGACGAATCTCCTACCCACCGCCCCATCTGCCAGAGACCCCCTGGATCTCCCCCAACCCTGCCTAGCCCCCACAGGGGTCCCTCCCCAAAGCAACATCAAAGTGACCATGCCCACCTTGGCCACACCCACCCAGTCTGCCATGACCACACCCATGCCCACCCAGTGGGCCATAGCCACCTGGGCACATAAATAAGTGGGTTTGGGGTTGCAGTTTGGCACTCAGTCTCTAAAAGGTTCACCATCACTGCCCTATACCATTTCAGACAGTATGTTCTCCAGTCTTTTCTTAAAAAACCCCATTAAGAAACACCTACAACTTCTGAAGGCAAGCTGTTCCACTGATCAATTGTCCTCACTATTAGGAAATTTCTCCTTAATTCCAGGTTGCTTCTCTCCTTGATTAGTTTCCATCGTTTCTTGTCTTGCCTTCTGGTGCTTCGGAAAATAACGTGGCTCCCTCTTCTTGGTGGCAGACCCTCAAATACTGGAATACTATCATGTCACGCTAGTCCAGTGGTTCTCAACCTTTTTAATGCCGTGACCCCCAACCGGTCGTAAGTCGAGGACTACTCAACTGGTCATAAGTCGAGGACTACTCAACTGGTGCAGCATCATTTGCAGAATGGGACTTTTGGCGGGCTCAGCAGGGCAGAGACAGCCTGGACAATTCCTATTGGCTTTTGAAAGCCAATAGAATTAGACTCTATTCAAGAATTGGGTATGTCTAGTTTAACGAAGAGAAGGACAAGGGGGGACATGATAGCAGTATTCCAATATCTCAGGGGCTGCCATAAAGAAGAGGGAATCAAGCTATTTTCCAAAGCACCTGAAGGCAGGACAAGAAGCAACGGGTGGAAACTAATCAAGGAGAGAAGCAACCTAGAACTAAGGAGAAACTTCCTGACAGTGAGAACAATTAATCAGTGGAACAGCCTGCCTCCAGAAGTAGTAAATGCTCCAACACTGGAAGTTTTTAAGAAGAGACTGGACAGCCATTTGTCCAAAATGGTGTAGGGTTTCCTGCCTGAGCAGGGGGTTGGACTAGATCAGTGGTTCTCAACCTTTCTAATGCCGTGATAATACAGTTCCCCATGTTGTGGTGACCCCCAACCACTTATATATCACCGGGTGCCAGGGGCATGGCCAAAGAAAAGGGGAAAAAATGGCGGACAGCCTTGTTTGGCGACCCCCGTGAAATGGTCATTTGACCCCAAATGGGGTCCCGACCCACAGGTTGAGAACCACTGGACTAGATGACCTCCAAGGTCCCTTCCAACTTTATTACTACTACTACTACTATTATTATTATTATTGGCTTTCAAAAGCCAATAGAATAAAAGGGAGTAGCACAGCTAAGGAAAAGGGGGAAAAAAATGGTGGACTGCGTTGTTTGGCGCTCCCCGTGAAATGGTCGTTCGACCCCAAATGGGTTCCCGACCCCCAGGTTGAGAACCACTGCCCTAGTCCTTCTTTTCTCTAGACTGGCCGTACCCAGTTCCTGCAACTGTTCTTCATATGTTTTTGTCTCCAGACCCTTAATCATCTTAGTTGCTCTTCTTTACACTTTTTCCAAAGTCTCAATATATTTTATGTAATGTAGTGATCAAAACATGATGTAGTATTCCAAGTGTGCCCTTACTAAGGCTTTATAAAGTGGTACTAATACTTCATGTGATATGCCTCTGTTTATACAACCTAGGATTGTATTCGTGGTTTTTTTTGGCTGCTACCGCACACTGCTATCTCACATTTAAGTGGTTGTCCATTAGGATTTCAAGATCCCTCCCACAGTTACTCTTTTTGAGCTAGGTTTTGCCTAAACTGTACTTCTACCTTTGGTTTTTCCTGTCTAGATGTTCTCTCTTCATGTTGTTGGTTAGGGTCCATTGTTCAAGTCTCTCAAGATCTTTTTGGATCCTAAGCTTGTCTTCTGGGGTGTTGGCTATTCCTGCCACTTTAGTGTCATTTGCAAATTGAATGGCTTCCCCTTCTATTCCCCCATCTAAGTCATTTATGAAGATATTGAGAAGCATTGCATCTACAACAGAACCTTTCTTTCCTTTAAAATGTTTTCTCTATCCTTGTTTTATTTTTATTTATTCTGGCATTAGGCCAGAATTCAAATAGTCAATTTCTCACCTACAGTCTCAATGGGAGATCAGAAATGAAAATGAAGCCTTCTCTAAATTCATCAACTTTTGTCTCATGTCGCATTCCTTGTGTTGAAAAAGGGGTGATTCACACCTGAAGTACCATCCACAAATTGGATATTTGACAGGTCTCTCCCATGTGAATCCTCTGGTGTATCACCAGGCTGGAATTCTGACTGAAACTTTTGCCACAAACAGGACATTCAAAGGGTTTCTCTCCTGTGTGAGTCCTCTGGTGAATCACCATGTTGGAATTCTGGTTGAACCATTTGCCACAAATAGGACACTCATATAGTTTCTTTCCTGTGTGATTTCTCTGGTGCTTTACCAGGCTGGAATTGTGACTGAAGGTTTTCCAACAAACTGAGAACTCAAATGGTTTCTCCTCTGTGTAAGTCCTCTGCTGACTTGTGAGCTGGAATTTTCTAATGAAACTTTTCCCACAATCTGGACACTCATATGATTTCTCTCCAATGTGAGTCCTCTGGAGACTCACCAGATAGGAACTGTGACCGAAACTTTTCCATCAGGACATTCAAAAGGTTTCTCTCCTGTGTGAGTCCTCTGGTGGTTCACCAGGCTGCAGTACCGACTAAAACTTTTCCTACAAATAGGACATTCAAAAGGTTTCTCTCCTGTATGTGTTTTTTGGTGTTTCACCAGATGGGAATTCTGACGGAACATTTTCCCACACTCTGGACACTCATATGGTTTCTCTCCAGTGTGAATCCTCTGATGGTTCACCAGGTTGGAATTTTTACTGAAACTTTTCCCACAAACTGGACACTCATATGGTTTCTCTCCTGTGTGATTTCTCTGGTGTATCAGCAGTTCATAATTCTGACTGAAACCTTTTCCACAATCAGGACATTCAAAGGGTTTCTCTCCTGTGTGAGTCTTGTGATGTTTCATAAGGTTGGAATTGTGACTGAAACTTTTCCCACAATCTGGACACTCATACGGTTTCTCTCCTGTGTGAGTCCTCTGGTGAATCACCAGGCTGGAATTCCGACTGAAACTTTTCCCACAAAGAGCACATTCAAAACATTTCTCTCCTGTGTGAGTCCTCTGGTGTCTCACCAGGCTGGAATTGTGACTGAAACGTTTCCCACAATCAGTACATTCAAAGGGTTTGTCTCCTGTGTGTATTCTCTGGTGACTTGTGAGCTGGAATTTTCTAATGAAACTTTTCCCACAATCTGGGCACTCATATGATTTCTGTCCTGAGTGAGTCCTCTGGTGTTTCACCAGGTAGGAATTCTGACTGAAATTTTTACCACAATCTGGACATTCATACGCTTTCACACCCATGTGTGTCCTCTGGTGTTTCACCAGGTTGGAATTTTCACTGAAATTTTTCCCACAATCAGGACATTTAAATGGTTTCTCTCCTGTGTGAGTCCTCTGGTGTGTCACCAGACTGGAACTGTGACTGAACCTTTTCCCACAATGAGCACATGCAAAGGGTTTGTCTCCTGTGTGAGTCCTTATGTGTATCACCAGGCTAGAATACTGACTGAAACTTTTCCCACAATCAGGACATTCAAACGGTTTCTCTCCTGTATGAGTCCTCTGGTGCATCAGCAAGCTGGAATACTGACTGAAACTTTTCCCACAATCAGGACATTCAAACGGTTTCTCTCCTGTATGAGTCCTCTGGTGTATCACCAGGCTAGAATTCCGACTGAAACTTTTCCCACAATCAGTACATTCAAATAGTTTCTCTCCTATGTGATTCCTTTGATGTATCACCAGTTCGTAATTCTGACTGAAACTTTTCCCACAATCAGGACATTCAAATGGTTTTTCTCCTGTGTGAGTCCTCTGGTGTCTCACAAGGTGGGAATTTGCAATGAAACTTTTCCCACAATCTGGACACTCATATGATTTCTTTTCTGTGTGCATCTTCTAGTGTATCACTAGACTGAAGTTGTGACTAAAATGTTTCCTATAATCAGAGCATTCAAAGGGTTTCTGCATGGTGTGAGTCCTATAATGTATCACCAAGCGGCCATGTTCGCACATCGTTTATCATGTTGGGAACATTTGTACAGTTCCTCTCCTTTGTGGGTCCTTCTCCTGAGCTTTTCTGAGAAAGGCTTTTGATACATTCAGAGTATTTGTACGGCATTTCTCCGATGTGGATCATTTTGTTTATAATTATCTGTGATTTGAAATCTGCATCTTTCCCATAATATACTCATCAGTGGAGCTTTTCCACCATTGATATTCTTGAGGACGTCAAAATGATGTGTGATCCCTTGTTTAGTGTTGCTTTGGTTGAAGCTACTCTTTTCTTGCTCCCAGGGCGAGACCTGCATTATGTCTGCCTGCTGTGGATTCCCAAATGTTCTTTTTCTCCCCACTGACTTCTAGATATTTCCCTATCTCCCTGAAGGGAAAAATAATCTCCTTTTCATGTTTGTATTCTTGTGTTCGCATTCTCTACTTTTACAGTTTGAAATCTTTTCTTGATTTTTTTCCCTTTTGTCTATTATCTGCTGTGCAAGGAGAAGAGTTGTGTGGTTTTTCTGAAGGACATGGAAAATATTTTTATTTCTGGTTTGATTTGGTTTCCTTTTCAATGTTGCTTGTTATTCTCAGTTGTCCAGAGTGCTCTTATTCGCATCCTCTTTTTCTATAATATTCAAAGAAAAGTGTTTATTGTTTATAAAATGGTTGCAGAAGATGTGAAATGAAAAAGTATACAATTGAAAAGCAAACATGTCACAATAATAGCCTCTTATATTAATTATGATTCATTTGATACAGTGAATATTACCAAGACCCAAGTTCAAATAACCATATAATTATGAAATAAACTTGTTGAATTGGGTCAATAAAAAATTCTCAGAATTTCAATAATTGAAGAGAATCTCTGTAATTAATATACATATAATGTTTTACCAAAGATTTTTCTTTTTCAGACTTACCAAAACTTGTAATTGATACTCCATTTATACAATGGCAGATGGAGATCTCTGAGTTTATATTGCAAGGGGGAAAAAACCAAGAATTAAATATAAATTATTGCAAGACACTAAAGCAGTGGTTCTCAACCTTTTTAATGCCGCGACCCCCAACTGGTCGAAAGTCGAGGACTACTCAACCAGTCGTAAGTCGAGGACTACTCAACTGGTGCAGCACCGTTTGCAGAATGGGACTTTTGGCGGGCTCAGCAGGGCAGAGACAGCCTGGACAATTCCTATTGGCTTTTGAAAGCCAATAGAATTAGACTCTATTCAAGAGAGTCTATTCTATTGGCTTTCAAAAGCCAATAGAATAAAAGGGAGTAGCACAGCTAAGGAAAAGGGGGAAAAATGGCGGACTGCGTTGTTTGGCGACCCCCGTGAAATGGTCGTTTGACCCCAAATGGGGTCCCGACCCACAGGTTGAGAACCACTGCACTAAAGAAAGAGAAGGTTTGGGTTTACTAGATTTGAAATTGTACTTTGATGGTTTTTTGTTTTGTCTGGCCAAAGGAGTGGGTGATCCTCCAAAATAGCTTACTTGAGCCAGAGGGCCATGAATGAAGATTTGGCTGGCACAGCTATTTATGGTATGATCAAGTTAACACAAATGTTGATTATAATAATCACTTTGTTAGATATACCATCCTAAGAATTTGAAAGAAATATAAAATAAGATTCTCTAGGAAGATGCCTCTTTGGCTGTCTCCCCAGGAACTTTTTTTAAGAAAAGAAATGGTGGCGAGGCCAGACAAATGGACTTATAGTCAAATAATATCTTTCAATTATGGTAACCTTATCGTGAAATCTAAAGAGGAGTTGGAATCAGAAGGATGTGTTTGCCATTGGTTTACATATTTACAATTGAAAAAAAGATTTAAACTTAAACAAAAAGGGCTATGGATTTGATTTTGTGGAAAATAAATTGGAAATGCTACTGTGTGGTAATGTTGAACATATTATTGCTAAGTTTTATAAATTGAAATTAAAATGCAACTTGTATGTAAAGCATTATATGATTCAGTGCATTCTACTGCACCCAAAAGGAGTCTCCCCCTCCCCCCCCATTATCCTACACTTTTCTCTCTTCCCCTTTTCCAACTATTTTTATGGTGAGACGAGAAACAATGGGTGGAAACTAATTAAGGAGGGAAGCAACCTAGAAACAAGGATAAATTTCATAACAGTAAGAATAATTAACCAGTGGGAAACAATGGTTTTTGCCTCCAGAAGCTGTGGGTCAGGGGTAGGCCACCTCGGCTCTTTTATGACTTGTGGACTTCAACTCCCAGAATTCCTGAGCCAGCCATGCTGAGGGAAAAGGGAGAGGTTTCCAAGCTGAGCCATACTGGCTCAGGAATTCTGGGAGTTGAAGTCCACGAGTCATAAAAGAGCCAAGGTTGCCTGCCCCTGCTGTGGGTGTTCGATCATTTGAGGTTTTTAAGAAGAGAGTGGACAGCCATTTATCTGAACTGTGTAAGGGCTCCTGCTTGAGCAGGGCGTTGGACAAACTGCCGGTCCGCGCGACGGACATGTCATCCGGAAGCCGCGCCCCCCCTATTGCCGGCAATGGCAAAACCGTCCCGATACGTTGCGCGACGTCACGTGACGTCGCGAGTTTGCTCTGTCTGGAGTAGATGATTCCGCTGTGGAGGAAACCAAACAGCCCGACTTGCTCCCGGCCTGCCCTCAACTCACCTTCCTGCTGATGCTTCCACCCTGGCAAGAAAGCGAGAGAGCCTCTCAGCGAGTCACCCTCCTCCAAGGAATGATGCGGAAGAGGAAGTTCTTCTGTGCTTCTCCTTTCCTCGCCTTTCTAGCAATACAATGCTTGATGGTTTTAACTCCTTTAAGCTCAAACACAGATACCGGTATATTGCATTGTTGGTTTTCTAGTCACTGATACTGCCTATCTGACCTTCCATCTAGCGGCAGGAGCCTGAAAAACAGGCTTGTGCTTTCTCCACTTAAGTATCTGCAAGATGTTTTCATTGATTACATGCTAATCATTTTCAGACTCACAGCAACCTCTTTTTGCAACTGAGCCAAGTGAAATGTGACGCTACTTAGCTTGTGAAGATTAGCTGCATGCTGAGCCCTAAAAGTTCATGAAATTCTTACAGAAATACAGAATAAGATTTGGAAGGGACCAAGTCTCCAAGCATGAGACCCTATTATTCATATTTGGAAAAATGGCTGTGGAATATCCTATTCAACACCTCCTTTGATGGAGCATCCACAATCTCTAGAGGCAAGCCATTCCACTTTTCTCACAGACAGGAACTTTCTCCCCAATTCTTGGTTGGAACTGTTTTTGATCATTCCAACGCTGAATTGACTTTTTAGGCAGTTACACCACACTGCTATCTCATATGTGTTTTGCGATCCCTCTCACAGTTACTGCTGTTGAACAAGGTACAACAACTTCTATAGATGTGCATTTAGCTTTTCTTGCCTAAGTGTAAGACCTTATTTTTCTCACCACTGAATTGCATTTTGCTGGAAAGGGCCCTATGCTCACATGTGTCAAGATCTTTCTGAGTCTTGTGCTTACCTTCAAAAGAGTTGGCTATTCCCCCCAACTGGGTGTCATCTGCAAATTTGATGAGTTCCCCTTCAATCTCTTCACCTAAGTCAGGGGTTCTCAACCTTGGCAACTTTAAGACTTCTGAACTTCAACTCCCAGAATTCCTCAGCCAGCTGGCTGAGGAATTCTGGGAGTTGAAGTCCAGAAGTCTTAAAGTTGCCAAGGTTGAGAACCTCTGATCTAAGTCATGTATGAACAAACTGGATATTCAAGATGTGGTATTCAAGCTGTTGTCCCAAGGATGTTTTTCAAAATGCAACTGGACTTTCTTAGTCTTTTTCCCCCCCCTTGTTGCTACTTTTCCTTTCAAACTATATTTTGTAGCAGTAGAGTTCCAGTATTACCAGCAAGCTGTCAACAGAAACCGTGAGGGCAGGGTGCTTCTCCCAAAGCTTATTTTTGTGAGACTACAAACAGTAGGGAGCTTCCTGGTGGGAGGGAGGGAGGGAAAGCGAGGTGGGTTCCCCCAGTTGCGCCCCCTCCCCTTCCGAGTCGCCGCCTTTCCTTGCGAGCTTTTCTGCTCCGTGGGAACCGCTGAGCCGCCGCTTCTCCTCCTCCTCGGTTGCTGCTTTCGCGAACAGCTCTCCGATCCCCTTCAAATCCTTCCCCCGAGCCCCCCTCCTGCCCCGCAGCCCCACCTCTTGGTGCAGCCCGGCTCCCAGCGTGGTGCCTGCTGGTGTTTCCCGGAAGGTTGGGCACCGCTGTTCCCACGTTCCCCTGTGGTTGCTGGGGAGGATCAGCCTCCCAGTGCCTGGAGGGGAGGAAGAGGACGGGGGGGGAGCTCTGGGCTCAGAGGGAGCGTGGCTGGAGGCGAGGGCGGGAACCCTGCTAGGAGGAGGCCAGGGGCGTCTGGAAGGCGGGTGAGGGAGACCCGAGAGGCGTCCAGGTGGTCTTGGCCGATGGGCAGCCCTGTCCAAGTGGGCTTCTTTTGGGATGGAGCACCTGAATCTGCCTCTCTTACATGCCCAGATTCCCTTTCTGGTGACTGATGCCTCCGTTTCTCTCTGCCCTTGTCAGGGAACAGCCCTGTCTGCACAGTCTTTCAGTTTTAATTTTAGTTCTTTTATGAGTTGGGTAAAATGCACTGAAAAAAAGCTCTTCACTGATTTTTACAATCAGCTTTCCAAAGAGATCAAGGGGGTTCTTTGGTAATATTCAGAAAGGTAAAAGAATTTCAGGTGAAGTGACAGGCCTGGGAACTTTAATAACTGCCTGCAGGGCATTTTGGGGAAAAGAGACTGGTATGTGCACAACAGCAGATTAGTTGGCCTCCAGAGAGGCTTCAGCTGTTGCAATAAAATGCTGCGTGGAAAGTTGTTGATACTCTGTCTAGCCATTCTTGTTTCCTCTAGTTATTCCATGACATTCTCCCGTTCCAATTTTCAGTTTTCTCCCAATTTCCTGTCTGTATTAGGTATAGAATTTTTCTTGAGTCTCTTCACCTTCATTTTTGTAGCTTTCACTTTCTGTAAAGATTTACAAAAGTATTTTAACATAATCTAAACCTTGGGGCACTTCAGAACCTATTAACGTCGGCCTGGGCACATGGATAATGCTATTTTGACTGGGCTTTTTTAAAGGGGAAGGCAATGTCCATTTTCCCCAGGCAATTCAAAAGGAAAAATCTCTGTCTGGATTGACCATTTTTAATACAAAACAGTAATGTAATACAAAAGTTTAATGCCAAGGGCATTGCCCAAACATGCTCCCACATACTAAACGTTCCTTGATGTAGGATACGGGAAACAGAAAGTATGAACATCCATATGAACATTCTGTCCCCTTTTTAAAAAGGTCCCTAACCTTGACTCTGGCTCAGCAGCAGTAACTGTGAGAGGGATCTAGGTCGCCCCATCTGTGGTTTTAGGTTAAAGTAGTTAAACCATGTTGCTAGAAAGGATAGGAGATAAGAACCTCATAGGAACTTCCTCTTCCGGCCCACCCATGGGAGGGGGGTGATATGCTGGGTGCCTTTTGTGCTCTTCCAGGGTTGAAGCAACAGCTGTAAAAGGAAAATTGATTAGTTTACATCATTGTTCTTCTGAGGATAATTTGGCAGACATGATGACTAAACCGTTGGGTAATGTTCACTATGGAAAATGTGTTAAGTCAATAGGTCTGATATCTCTTCCTGTCATGAAGGGAGGAGTGTTGGAATATTCATGAACAGGAAGAGTCATGTGGTAACTCAGTCAGCCAATGTGAAGCAAGTGCTACTGAGTCTGTGCAAGAGTATTGAGTTAGGAGCTGGATTTCCAGTCTCAAGTTTTCTCTCTGGTCTGTCTCTGTAAGAAGTCTTCATTAAGCTATGTTGCTGTAAAGAAGAATGGTATTGTAAATATTTTTATATAAAGTTATTTGAATCAGCTAAATGCAGTCAACTGTGAGAGCTTCTGATTTATTTTTCACCAATAGAGAAATTAAAATTCTCTAACACTTTTTTTTCCATGAGAAGTTAAAATTGATTGATTGATTGAACCTTTTTTTCTTTGCACATGGCGGCGGAGGCCTAAAGTGAAAAGGTTTTATAAAACCCAGCTGAAGGCCCTGGACGATGGCGCACGTGCCCACAGAGAGGGCTCTGCATGCCACCTGTGGCACGCATTCCATAGGTTCGCCACCACAGACCTATACCATTCCAGATAACTCACTGTCTAGTCTCTTCTTAAAAACCTCCAGTGATGGAGCACCTACGATTTCTGAAGGCAAGCTGTTCCTTTTGATAGAAGTGAATGAAAGGTCTTCAAAATTTAATATTGAAAGAAACATTTAAAATAGAATCTGCTGTACAATGGAAACGTACTGAAATAGACAAACAAGCTTAGCAAAGAAATTACAACGGGGAACGAGGAGGGACGGGGCGGCCCTGACAGGGTTGTATAAAGAAGGAATATTTTGGATTGGAACTTTGGAGAGAATCAGGCTTTGATAGCTTCTCTCCTCGCTTATTGCAATAAATGAAATAAAAGGCCTTCACTGTGCCTTGGCTGGTTATTGGTCAGGTGAGCTTGCCTCTGGTCATGAAGGAAAGTAGCCAAGAGCACATAACACTCTGCTTAATTGTCCGCATTGTTAGGAAGTTCCTCTTTAATTCCAGGTTGCTTCTCCCTTTGATTAGTTTCCAACCGTTGTTTCTTGTCCTGCCCTCTGGTGCTTTGGAGAATAATTTGACCCTGTCATCTTTGTGGCAGCCCCCCAAATTGTCAGAATCCAATTATATTTCATCTCTAGTTATCAACTAAAGAAAACCCCACTTTTGCCTTCCCTGGATTCTGTCATACGATGAAGGGAAGGGGGTGAACAAAGGGGCTTTATGGCTCTCACTTCCTTCAGTATACTTCAAAGAGACTGAATGTGGATAGCACCAAAAGGCCTAATCATAACAAAGGGGGCTATTACCTTTCATGTAGTTTTCTCTTAAGTCTCCATCCAACCGGCAGTAAGGAAAAGGGGGTGGGAATGTAATGCCTGAGACTGTCGCTGGAAGTAGGGGGTGATTGGGTGGGGCTACTGGGAAACCCCTTAAAACCTTGAATGGGAGAGCTTGGACCCCAAGTCCTGTCTAGAACGCCTGCAACCATTTTCTCTCAATAAAGGATGCCTGTTGGAAGAATTATTCCAAGAGTTCTGTCTTCTTAAGATGCAAAGGGGGGGGGAGAGGCCAGGGGCACCATGGGGGAAATACCTGTGGGGACTGTGGGGCGGGAGAAAAGCCTGATGGGGCCCTGTAAGGGAGGAAAAGCTCTGGGGAACCAAGGGTTGGGAAGCAAAGCAACTTAGTTGTGTTCAACTTAGCGAGTTGCATATCTGTTTAATGGCTGCATCATGGAGGGTGGAGGTAATTAACCAAACCAGTGTCACTTCATGGCTTTTGCAATGTACAACCGTAACTGACAGGCCCCATTACAGTTCTAAATTGAAGACAGCTGGTATGATGGCTGGGAAAATGTAGGGATCAAAATCTGGAGCACAACAAAGAAGGCTGAAACTCCGTATGTTGGATTTTCATAATCAATATACAAAAAACACCACACAAAACTCTACTACAGAAAACCCTGTTTGAGGAATTCCACAAGTTCTATAAAAGGAAACATCCAGAAACGTCTGCTGATAATTAGAAACAGCTCGTTAGCCTTTATCAAGTTAATAATTTCCATTTTTTCCCCTCTACACCAGAAGTCTAATTCTAAGATGTATTG